CGACAAGATGTTATAGAACTCCAGTATGCTGATGACAACGTCGCCTGTGCGCATTCAGAAGACAAGATGTTATAGAACTCCAGTATGCTGATGACAACGTTGCCTGTGCGCATTCAGAAGACCGACAAGATGTTATAGAACTCCAGTATGCTGATGACAACGTCGCCTGTGCGCATTCAGAAGAAGATCGACAAGCCACTCTCAGTGAGAAGCTCGGACACGCAGAAGAGGGAGGGTGGGATATGAAAGCAAGACTTCCCTTCAACACCCTTCTCACTCTCCCTATTTGTCAAGCTGTTCTAGAAGACAAGATGTCATAGAACTCCAGTATGCTGATGACAACGTCGTCTGTGCGTATTCAGAAGACAGACAAGATGTTATACAACTCCAGTATGCTGATGACAACGTCGCCTGTGCGCATTCAGAAGACAAGATGTTGTAGAACTCCAGTATGCTGATGACAACGTCACCTGTGCGCATTCAGAAGAAGATCTACAAGCCACTCTCAATGAGAAGCTCAGACACGCAGAAGAGGGAGGGTGGGATATGAAAGCAAGGCTTCCCTTCGACGCTCTTCTAGAACTCCAGTATGCTGATGACAACGTTGTCTGTGCGCATTCAGAAGACAAGATGTTATAGAACTCCAGTATGCCGATGACAACGTCGCCTGTGCGCTTTCAGAAGAAGATCTACAAGCCACTCTCAATGAGAAGCTCGGACACGCAGAAGAGGGAGGGTGGGATATGAAAGCAAGGCTTCCCTTCGACGCTCTTCTAGAACTCCAGTATGCTGATGACAACGTTGTCTGTGCGCATTCAGAAGACAAGATGTTATAGAACTCCAGTATGCTGATGACAACGTCGCCTGTGCGCATTCAGAAGAAGATCTACAAGCCACTCTCAATGAGAAGCTCGGACACGCAGAAGAGGGAGGGTGGGATATGAAAGCAAGGCTTCCCTTCGACGCTCTTCTAGAACTCCAGTATGCTGATGACAACGTTGTCTGTGCGCATTCAGAAGACAAGATGTTATAGAACTCCAGTATGCCGATGACAACGTCGCCTGTGCGCATTCAGAAGACCGACAAGATGTTATACAACCCCAGTATGCTGATGACAACGTCGCCTGTGCGCATTCAGAAGACAAGATGTTGTAGAACTCCAGTATGCTGATGACAACGTCACCTGTGCGCATTCAGAAGAAGATCTACAAGCCACTCTCAATGAGAAGCTCGGACACGCAGAAGAGGGAGGGTGGGATATGAAAGCAAGGCTTCCCTTCGACGCTCTTCTAGAACTCCAGTATGCTGATGACAACGTTGTCTGTGCGCATTCAGAAGACAAGATGTTATAGAACTCCAGTATGCCGATGACAACGTCGCCTGTGTGCATTCATTGCACTATTGATCAAATGCCTTCTGAATAGCCAGGTCTTTAGCTTCCTGCGGAATATTAGCAGGGAGGGAGCTAGCCTGGTGTCCACGGGAAGGGTGTTCAAGGAGGGGGGGACGAAAAGAGAAACGGGAAGGGTTTTTTTTTTTTTTTTTTTTTTTGTGTTCCACAGCCGAGGAGCCACCACCGAGAAGGCCCTATCTCTCGTCCCCACCAGCCGTGCCTGTGAGGCAGGTGGAATCGAGAGCAGGGCCTCCCCGGAAGATCTCAAAGTCCTCGTGGGCTCATAGGCCGAGAGGCGGTCAGTTAGGTATTTTGGGCCGGAACCGTTTAGGGCTTTATAGGCCAATGCCAGCACCTTGAATTGAGCCCGGTAGCAGATCGGCAGCCAGTGGAGCTGGTACAGCAGGGGGGTTGTATGCTCCCTGCGTCCCGCTCCTGTTAGTATCATGGCTGCCGAACGCTGGACCAGTTGGAGCTTCCGGGCCGTCTTCAAGGGCAGCCCCACGTAGAGAGTGTTGCAGTAGTCTAAGCGGGATGTAACCAGACTAATGATTATAATAGATATATTAAATGATACATTAATAAAATAAATATATTAAATACTTATTTATTATAATATATATTAAATAATAGTACATTAATAAAATTGATATATTAAATAATAATAATAAATAATATATAAATAATAATGTTTATTTATATATTATCAAAGGCTTTCATGGCTGGAATCTCTAGGTTCTTGTGGGTTTTTCCGGGCTGTATGGCCATGATCTAGAGGCATTCTCTCCTGACGTTTCGCCTGCATCTATGGCAAGCATCCTCAGAGGTAGTGAGGTCTGTTGGAACTAGGAAAATGGGTTTATATATCTGTGGAATGACCAGGATGGGACAAAGGACTCTTGTCTGCTGGAGCTAGGTGTGAATGTTTCAACTGACCACCTTGATTAGCATATAATGGCCTGACAGTGCTTGGAGCAAACTTTTGTTGAGAGGTGATTAGATTTCCTTGTTTGTTTCCTCTCTGTTGTTGTGCTGTTGTAATTTTAGAGTTTTTTAATACTGGTAGCCAGATTTTGTTCAACAGACCTCACTCCCTCTGAGGATGCTTGCCATAGATGCAGGCGAAACGTCAGGAGAAATGCCTCTAGAACATGGCCCTATAGCCCGAAAAAACCCACAAGAACCTAGTTTATTTATATAGTAAAATAATTAATATATAACAATATATATAATAATATACATTAAATAATAATTATATATTATATATATATAAAATAATAACATAATAAATTATATATTAAATAATAAAATAATAAATGATATAATAAATATAATATAATGTTATATATATTAAAATAATTATATATAATAATATATATAATAATATATAATAAAATAATATAAATAAATAATATATAAATAATAATAAATAATATATAATAATAATATTAATTATATATAAAATTAATATATAATAATATATATTAATTATATTATATATTATATTATATTAAATAATAATAATATATTAAATAATAATTATATATAATATATATAATATTATTAAAATAATAATTATAAATACAATTATATAATAATAATAATGATATATAAATAATATATTAATGTATTTATATTTAAAAGTAATTATATATAATATATATATAATAATATATATAAATAATAATACATATAATGCAATTTATATATAAATAATAAATAAAAATAATATATAAATAATAATACTGTTTATTTATATAATAAAATAATATATTAATATAATATTAAATATAATTATATATAAAAATATATATAATATAAATATAATATAATAATAAAAATTTATATTAATATATATGATATATATATAAATAATAATATGTATTTATATATAAAAGTAATTATATATAATAATATATATAATATAATTAATATATATATAATATAATTAAATAATATAATATATAATAATAATATTATTTATATATAATTATAATAATATTATTTATAATATAATAATATTATATATATTATAGTAATACTATAATGCACTATATCATTATATATGTAATATTATTAGTAATATAATATTACTATATTAATTATGTAATAATAATATTATTATAATATAATAATTATATATTATAATATATTAGTAATATAATAAATTATATAATATAATATATATATATATAAAATAATATAATAATAATATATATATATATATTAATATTATTTATATTATAATATATTAAATAATAATATATATAATATAATTAATATAGTATAATATATTAATATAATATATTATAAATATATATAAAATAATAATAAATTATAATATAATAATTATATATTAATATTAATAATAACATAAATGATATTAAAAATAATATTAATGCTTATTTATATATTAAAAGTAATTATATATAATAATATATATTAATATATATTAAATAAGTTATTAATATTATAATATATTAATAATATATTATAATATTATATTAATATATTATAATATATTATAATCTTATATATTAATAATATATAATAATATATATATAAAATAATAATACATAAATGCAATTTATATATTAAATAATAATAATAATAAATGATATATAAATAATAATATTAATGCTTATTTATATATTAAAAGTAATTATATATAATAATATATATATAATATATACATATAATACTTATAATATTATAATAATATAAATAATAATAATATATATTATAATATTATATTTTTATATTACAGTAATATTACTAATAATAATTACAATAATGTATATAAATATAATATAATATATAAATATAATAATTATATAGTAATTATATATAATAATATATAACAATATATATTAAATAATAATTATATATTATAATATATATTAAATACTTATATATATATTAAATAATTCTTTATAATAATTTATATTATAATATATATTAAATAATAATACATTAATAAAACATATATTAAATAATAATAAATGATATATAAATAATAATAATGTTTATTTATATATAAAAGTAATAATATATAGTAATATATTAAATAATAATCATATATTATAATATATATTAAATAATAACACATTAATAAAATTGATATATTAAATAATAAAAATAATATATAAAATAATAATGTTTATTTATACACACTTTTTCTCTCCACTACGACGATACAAAGTGGCTAACATTACAAACACAACACACTTGGAAATATATAAATATACAAAAATTGAAACACAATTAAATATCATTGGTTTTGTTGTTGAACTCCATAAAACATATTATAAACTATTAAAAAAAGAGATTCATGAACTAGAAATTCAGTTAAAATCCATAAAACATATTATAAACTATTAAGAAAAGAGATTCATGAACTAGTTCATATGGGAACCTGAAGTGGGTGGTGAAAACTATTCAGACCATGTCCCCTTTAACCCTGGTTGCCAGAGCCACGCCCCTTTCCGGAAGGGAGATGATGGGCACAACATAGAGTTCGGAAAAGTCGAGAGGGAGGAGTAATCTCACACTTCCGGGTTCATACCAAATATTATACTTTCCCATTTCCTACAAAATATAGTGACAACAGCAGTAAATAAGAGTGACTTTTAGAGGAAAGCCTATGAGAGAACTACAAATCCCAACATTCGGAGAGAGGAAGCCAGGAGATGTTAACAGTGGGGGAAAAACACACACTGTCCCTTTAAGGAAACTCCCTGCAGAAGACATTGGTGAACTACAACTCCCATGATGCCTCATTCCTGGGAATTGCAGCAGGAAGTGCTCAGTTTGTGGTCTCCAGCCCAATAGGATCGCAGGTGAGTGCTCAAATCTCCCAGGTGGACTGCAAATCCCATTTCCCCTTGTTCTTATAGGATTGTGGACTACAAATCCCATTTCCCCTTTGTTCCTATTGGATTGCAAGCCAAGCCCCATTGGTTTGCATTGCAAATTCTATGCATAAGCCTATATAGCAGGCCTGGGCCAACTTGGGCCCTCCAGGTGTTTTGGACTCCAACTCCCATAATTCCTAACAGCCTACCGGCTGTTAGGAATTATGGGAGTTGGAGTCCAAAACACCTGGAGGGCCCAAGTTGGCCCAGGCCTGCTACATAGGATTAAAGGCAAGTGGTTTGCATTTGGAGCATCAACTCTTGGCTGGACTACAAATCCCATTTCCCCTTGTTCCTATAGGATTGTGGACTACAAATCCCATTTCCCCTTTGTTCCTATAGGATTGCAAGCCAAGCCCCATTGGTTTGCATTGCAAATTCTATAACTACCTGGGCCAACTTGGGCCCTCCAGGTGTTTTGGACTCCAACTCCCATAATTCCTAACAGCCTACCGGTTAAATTGTTGTTGTTATGATGGAAAAGTACCTTGGGTTGTATTATTATTTCTGTATATAAGTATTGTTGGTTTTTGAGTTCTGTTAATCCCACAAACTGACATTGAAGCCGAGCACCCCTCCCCCCCAGAATGGGGGATGGTGACTTGTAGTTCTGCAAAGGGCAAGGGCACCAGACTGCACAACAAGGGTTAAGTCTTGGTCACATTGCCAAGGCACTGACGACAACAAGGGTCCCACAAGGCTTTTGGGAAATGGCTGGATCTTGGGACTTCTGCCCTTCGTGAGAGTTGTAGTTTCCCAAGGACCAAAGTGTGAATCAGTTGCAGCACAGCTGGGGTTTCACCTGCCAGCCTTCCCAAGGATCATGGACTCCCTGCCTCCATGTCTTGGACTTCAGTACATACTATCTCCCTCATGAACTTTCCTCAAAGACCTTTCAAAACTAAGATGTTATCTCTACGCAGAAGACAAGATGTTATAGAACTCCAGTATGCCGATGACAACGTCGCCTGTGCGCATTCAGAAGACCGACAAGATGTTATACAACCCCAGTATGCTGATGACAACGTCGCCTGTGCGCATTCAGAAGACAAGATGTTATAGAACTCCAGTATGCTGATGACAACGTCGAGCTCGGACACGCAGAAGAGGGAGGGTGGGATATGAAAGCAAGACTTCCCTTCGACGCTCTTCTAGAACTCCAGTATGCTGATGACAACGTCGCCTGTGCGCATTCAGAAGACAAGATGTTATAGAACTCCAGTATGCTGATGACAACGTCGCCTGTGCGCATTCAGAAGACAAGATGTTATAGAACTCCAGTATGCCGATGACAACGTCGCCTGTGCGCATTCCCAAGGATCATGGACTCTCTGCCTCCATGTCTTGGACTTCAGTACATACTATCTCCCTCATGAACTTTCCTCAAAGACCTTTCAAAACTAAGATGTTATCTCTACGCAGATGACGTCCAGATCTGTCACTCCTTCTCACCTGTCACCAAGGAGGCTGTCCAGACCTTGGACCGGTGCTTGGCTGCTGTGTCGGACTGGATGAGAGCTAACAGATTGAAACTGAATCCAGACAAGACAGAGGTCCTCCTGGTCAGTCGTAAGGCCGAACAGGGCATAGGGTTACAGCCTGTGTTAGACGGGGTCACACTCCCCCTGAAGACACAGGGAGTGACCCTGGACTCAGAGAATCCTAGGATCCAAGAGTTGGAAGAGACCTCCTGGGCCATCATCCAGTCCAACCCCATTCTGCCAAGAAGCAGGATTATTGCATTCAAATCACCCCTGACAGATGGCCATCCAGCCTCTGCTTAAAAGCTTCCAAAGAAGGAGCCTCCACCACACTCCGGGGCAGAGAGTTCCACTGCTGAACGGCTCTCACAGTCAGGAAGTTCTTCCTCATGTTCAGATGGAATCTCCTCTCTTGTAGTTTGAAGCCATTCCTCCCTTGCGTCCTAGTCTCCAAGGAAGCAGTAAACAAGCTTGCTCCCTCCTCCTCCCTATGACTTCCTCTCACATATTTATACATGGCTATCATATCCCCTCTCAGCCTTCTCTTCTTCAGGCTAAACATGCCCAGCTCCTTAAGCCGCTCCTCATAGGGCTTGTTCTCCAGACCCTTGATCATTTTAGTCTCCCTCCTCTGGACACATTCCAGCTTAGAGTCAATATCTCTCTTGAATTGTGGTGCCCAGAATTGCACACAATGTGATTCCAGGTGTGGTCTAACCAAAGTGGAATAGAGCATGGGGAGCATGACTTCCTTAGATCTAGACACTAGGCTCCTATTGATGCAGGCTAAAATCCCATTGGCTTTTTTTGCCGCCACATCACATTCCTGGCTCATGTTTACCTTCCTGTCCACGAGGACTCCAAGATCTTTTTCCCGCGTCCTGCTCTCGAGCCAGGCCTCATCGTCCCCCATTCTGTCTCTTTGCATTTCGTTTTTCCTGCCATCGCTGAGCCTGGAAGCCCAGGTCTCGGCGGTGGCCGGGAGAGCTTTTGCACAACTAAAACTTGTGCGCCAGCTGTGCCCATATCTTGGGAAGTCTGATCTGGCCACAGTGGTCCACGCTCTTGTTACATCCCGTATAGACTACTGCAACACACTCTATGTGGGGTTGCCCTTGAAGACTGTTTGGAAACTTCAACTGGTCCAGCAAGCGGCAGCCAGGCTGCTCACCAGAGCGACATACAGGGAGCACACCACCCCCCTGCTGTGCCGATCCAGTTCCGAGCACAATTCAAGGTGCTGGTTTTGACCTACAAAACCCTACACGGCTCTGGCCCGGCGTATCTGTCCGAACGTATCTCCTTCTACGTCCCACCTCGGAGTTTAAGATCTGCTGAGGGGGCCCTGCTCTCGGCCCCACCTTTATCACAAGCAAGGCTGGTGGGGACGAGGGACAGGGCCTTCTCGGTGGTGGCCCCTCGCCTGTGGAACTCACTCCCCGGGGAAATTAGGACATCAACCTCCCTCCTCTCCTTCAGGAAGAAGCTAAAAACCTGGATGTGGGACCAAGTGTTCGTGTAAGCTGGCAGATGGACAAAGACAACCAGTAATGACCAGAGTAGGAAAGGACATTGACGATGCTCAATGGTTTACGGACTTGGATTTGGTGAACACTGACCACAAGATGTTTATTGCTGCTAGTGTACTGTCTGATGGTTTTAATCCATTATAACTGTGATATTATGTCTGAAATTTGTGTATTATATAGTGTATTGTATGTTGTAATTGTTAGGCATCGAATTATGCCTTTCGTAAGCCGCCCTGAGTCCCCCCGAGGGGGTTGAGAAGGACGGGGTAGAAGCACCCCAAATAAATAAATTATATACTTATACTTGTTATTGTTGGTCAAGTCCCTTGGGTTGGATTACTATTTCTGTATATAAGTATTATTATTATTATTATTGTTATTATTAATGTCCAAGTCCCTTGGGTTGTGTTACTATTTCTATATATGATTATTGTTGTTGTTGTTGTTGTTGTTGTTGTTGTTGTTGTTATGGCCAAGTTCCTTGGGTTGTATTACTATTTCTGTATATGATTATTATTGTTGTTGTTGTTGTTGTTATTATTATTATGGCCAAGTCCCTTGGGTTGGATTACTATTTCTGTATATGAGCATTACTATTATTATTATTATTATTATTATTATTATTATTATTATGTTCAAGTCCCTTGGGTTGTGTTACTATTTCCGTATATGAATATTATTATTGTTGTTGTTGTTGTTATTATTGCCAAATCCCTTGGGTTGTATTATTATTTCTGTATATAAGTATTATATACTTATACTTGTTATTGTTGGTCAAGTCCCTTGGGTTGGGTTACTATTTCTGTATATAAGTATTAATATTATTATTGTTATTATTAATGTCCAAGTCCCTTGGGTTGTGTTACTATTTCTATATATGATTATTATTGTTGTTGTTGTTGTTGTTATGGCCAGTTCCTTGGGTTGTATTACTATTTCTGTATATGAGTATTATTATTATTATTATTATTATTGTCAAATTCCTTGGGTTGTGTTACTATTTCTGTATATCAGTATGATTATTATTGTTATTATTGTTATTATTATTATTATTATTATTATTGCCAAATCCCTTAGGTTATATTACTATTTCTGTATATGAGTATTATTATTATTATGGCCAAATTCCATGGGTTGTATAACTATTTCTGTATATGAGTATTATTATTGTTACTATTATGGCCAAGTCCCTTGGGTTGGATTACTATTTGTGTATATAAGTATTATTACTATTATTGTTTTTATTATGGCCAAGTCCCTTGGGTTGTGTTACTATTTCTGTATATGAGTATTATTATTATTATTGTTATTATTATTATTATTATTGCCAAGTCCCCAGGGCTGCATTACTATTCCTATTATTATTATTATTATTATTATTATTATTATTGCCAAGTCCCTAGGGTTGCATTACTATTTCTATTATGACCCTATTATTATTATTATTATTATTATGGTCAAGTCCCTAGGGTTGTATTACTATTTCTATTATTATTATTATTATTATGGTCAAGTCCCTAGGGTTGCATTACTATTTCTATTATTATTATTATTATTATTATTATTATTATTATTATTATGGTCAAGTCCCTAGGGTTGTATTACTATATTATTATTATTATTATTATTATTATTATTATGGTCAAGTCCCTAGGGTTGTATTACTATTTCTGTATATGACCCTATTATTATTATTATTATTATTATGGTCAAGTCCCTAGGGTTGTATTACTATTTCTATTATTATTATTATTATTATGGTCAAGTCCCTAGGGTTGCATTACTATTTCTATTATTATTATTATTATTATTATTATTATTATTATTATTATTATTATTATGGTCAAGTCCCTAGGGTTGTATTACTATTTCTGTATATGACCCTATTATTATTATTATTATTATTATTATTATTATTGCCAAGTCCCTAGGGTTGTATTACTATTTCTATTATTATTATTATTATTATTATTATTATTATTATTATTATTATGGTCAAGTCCCTAGGGTTGCATTACTATTTCTATTATTATTATTATTATTATTATTATTATTATTATTATTATTATTATGGTCAAGTCCCTAGGGTTGCATTACTATTTCTTATTATTATTATTATTATTATTATTATTATTATTATTATTATTATTATGGTCAAGTCCCTAGGGTTGTATTACTATTTCTGTATATGACCCTATTATTATTATTATTATTATTATTATTATTATTATTATTATTATTATTATGGTCAAGTCCCTAGGGTTGCATTACTATTTCTATTATTATTATTATTATTATTATTATTATTATTATTATTATTATTATGGTCAAGTCCCTAGGGTTGCATTACTATTTCTGTATATGACCCTATTATTATTATTATTATTATTATTATTATTATTATTATTATTATTATTATGGTCAAGTCCCTAGGGTTGCATTACTATTTCTATTATTATTATTATTATTATTATTATTATTATTATTATTATTATTATTATTATGGTCAAGTCCCTAGGGTTGTATTACTATTTCTGTATATGACCCTATTATTATTATTATTATTATTATTATTATTATTATTATTATTATTATGGTCAAGTCCCTAGGGTTGCATTACTATTTCTATTATTATTATTATTATTATTATTATTATTATTATTATTAACGCTTTCTACGTGGGGCTGCCCTTGAAGACGGCCCGGAAGCTTCAGCTAGTCCAGCGCGCGGCAGCCATGTTACTAACGGGAGCAGGACGCAGGGAGCACACAACGCCCTTGTTGTCCCAACTCCATTGGCTGCCGATCTGCTACCGGGCCCAATTTAAGGTGCTGGTGTTATCCTACAAAGCCCTAAACGGTTCCGGCCCAAAATACCTATCGGACCGCATCTCGGCCTATGAGCCCACGAGGGCCTTAAGATCGTCTGGGGAGGCCCTTCTCTCGGTCCCGCCAGCATCACAGGCACGGCTGGTGGGGACGAGGGAGAGGGCCTTCTCGGTGGTGGCCCCCCGGCTGTGGAACACTCTCCCGGCAAACATTAGACAGGTGCCCTCCCTCATGTCCTTTCGAAAAAGCCTTAAAACCTGGCTGTTCGAGAGGGCATTTAATTAAGTGCTAGTAACAACATCATGGTAACATTATGGTAATGAGAACTGGAATGATATAAGGACGATGAGACTGGCCTATGATTCTACTAAGAGACGAAGCGGATTTTTATGTAGTTTGTAGTTGTTTGTATAGCTATGTGTTTGTAGATACTGACTTTTGTAACTGTCTTTTATGTGTACTGTACACCGCCATGAGTCGCCCGTAAGGGCTGAGAATGGCGGTTAATAAATGAATCAAATAAATAAATAAATAAATAATATTATTATGGTCAAGTCCCTAGGGTTGTATTACTATTTCTGTATATGACCCTATTATTATTATTATTATTATTATTATTATTATTATTATTATTATTATTATTATTGCCAAGTCCCTAGGGTTGCATTACTATTTCTATTATTATTATTATTATTATTATTATTATTATTATTATTATTATTATTATTCAAGTCCCTAGGGTTGCATTACTATTTCTATTATTATTATTATTATTATTATTATTATTATTATTATTATTATTATTATGGTCAAGTCCCTAGGGTTGCATTACTATTTCTATTATTATTATTATTATTATTATTATTATTATTATTATTATTATTGCCAAGTCCCTAGGGTTGCATTACTATTTCTATTATTATTATTATTATTATTATTATTATTATTATTATTATTATTGCCAAGTCCCTAGGGTTGTATTACTATTTCTATTATTATTATTATTATTATTATTATTATTATTATTATTATTATTATGGTCAAGTCCCTAGGGTTGTATTACTATTTCTATTATTATTATTATTATTATTATTATTATTATTATTATTATTATGGTCAAGTCCCTAGGGTTGCATTACTATTTCTATTATTATTATTATTATTATTATTATTATTATTATTATTATTATGGTCAAGTCCCTAGGGTTGCATTACTATTTCTATTATTATTATTATTATTATTATTATTATTATTATTATTATTATTATGGTCAAGTCCCTAGGGTTGTATTACTATTTCTGTATATGACCCTATTATTATTATTATTATTATTATTATTATTATTATTATTATTATTCAAGTCCCTAGGGTTGCATTACTATTTCTATTATTATTATTATTATTATTATTATTATTATTATTATTATTATTATTATGGTCAAGTCCCTAGGGTTGCATTACTATTTCTATTATTATTATTATTATTATTATTATTATTATTATTATTATTATTATGGTCAAGTCCCTAGGGTTGCATTACTATTTCTATTATTATTATTATTATTATTATTATTATTATTATTATTATTATTATTATGGTCAAGTCCCTAGGGTTGCATTACTATTTCTATTATTATTATTATTATTATTATTATTATTATTATTATTATTATTGCCAAGTCCCTAGGGTTGTATTACTATTTCTATTATTATTATTATTATTATTATTATTATTATTATTATTATTATTATGGTCAAGTCCCTAGGGTTGTATTACTATTTCTATTATTATTATTATTATTATTATTATTATTATTATTATTATTATGGTCAAGTCCCTAGGGTTGCATTACTATTTCTATTATTATTATTATTATTATTATTATTATTATTATTATTATTTATTATTCATCCCATTATTCTATTCTATTATTATTATTATTATTATTATTATTATTATTATTACTATTATTATTAGGCTGCCTATTATTATTATTATTGTATTATTATTATTATTATTATTATTATTATTATTAGGCTTCCAATTATTATTATTATTATTATTGTATTATTATCATTATTACTAATAAATAAATAAATAATATTATTATGGTCAAGTCCCTAGGGTTGTATTACTATTTCTGTATATGACCCTATTATTATTATTATTATTGTTGTTGTTATTATTGTGGACAAGACCCTAGGATTGTATTACTCTTTCTGCGTATGACCCTATAGCATGATGACCAAATCCCTTGGGTTGTTTACCCTTCCTTTCCTCTTTTTCCAGGACTTCGGTGCCATCAAATTGATTGTCCAGTCATCAAATGGGAGGCCTTGACCTGGCCGAAGAGTCGGACGATGCGGACCCTTCCACGCCGGCCGTGGGCACTTGTCCCGGGATGTGCCCGGCCTCAGAGTTTGACCGCCGCCGGCGCCAACGCTGCCTCCACCACCTGGAGCTGGGCCCCCCTCCCTCGTGCCAACCGGACGCATCATTAGCGGTCAAGGAATACTCCCGCCCAGCGGCCGGAAAGCCCCCTCCGTGTCCGCAGGAGCTGCGCCCGCCCTCCGTTCTACTGGACACCGTCCGGCACCTCTTGTCCTTAGACAGCGATGCCAAGGGAGACGAAGCCGAGCGCTGTGCCTTTGTGACTGACCGCCTCCGCGCCATCCGGCTGGACCTGACCCTCCAGCGCTTGACTGGCCGGCCTTGCGCCATCCCCATCCTGGAGCGGGCCCTGGTCTTCCTCCTCCACGCCGGGTGTCGGCTTCATGGCCAGCCGGACGCCCGCTTCGATGCCCACCTTCACCGGGAACAGGTCCAGGAGAGCTTTGCTGCCTTGCGGCGCGCCTACCGCGAGGGTCAAGCCAAAGGTCAAGGGGTCGTTGCCGTTGCCACCGAGCCCCGCTTCCAAGCCCTCTTCCTCCTGTACAATTTGGGTGAGGACGGCGGGCAGTTGGACATGCTGGGTGGGGGGTGGCAATAACACCATGTAAACACGATGTTCCTGGGTGAGAAAACGTGGTCACCTGTCCAATGCCCAGTGGCTTAATTTATATTTGGTCAGTGGTTTCAGTTATATTTGGTCACATGTCCAATGCCCAGTATCTTAACTTGTATTCATTTGGTCAGTGGCTGAACTTATATTGACTTCTATTCAGTCCCCTGTCCAATGTCCAGTGGCTTAACTTATATTTGGCCACATGTCCAGTGGCTTCATTTATATATTTGGTCACCCGGCCAGTGGCTTCATTTATATTCCATCCGTGGCATAACTTCTATTCGGTCACCTGTCCACTGCCCAATGGCTTAACTTATATTTGGTCACCTGTCCAATGGCCAGTGGCTTTATATTCAGCCAGTGACTTAAGTTATATTTGGTCACCCGTCCAATGACCAATAGCTTAAGTTATATTCGGTCACATGTCCAGTGGCTTAATTTGTATTCAGCCAGTGGCTTAACTTCTATTCGGTCACTTGTCCAGTGCCCAATGACTTAAGTTATATTTGGTCACTTGGCCAGTGGCTTAATTTATATTCGGTCACCTGTGTAATGCCCAGTGGCTTAATTTATCTTTGGTCAGTGGCTTAAGTTATATTTGCTTACCTGTCCAATGCCCAGTGGCTTAAGTTATATTTGGTCACTTGTCCAGTGGCTTATATTCGGTCACCCGTCCAATGCCCAATGGCTTAAGTTATATTTAGTCACATGTCTTAACTTATATTCGGTCAGTGGCTTAACATATTCGGTCACCCGTCCAATGACCAATGGCTTAAGTTATATTTGGTCACATGTCCAGTGGCTTAACTTATATTTGGTCAGTGGCTTAACTTGTATTCGGTCAGTGGCTTAACTTATATTTGGTCAGTGGCTTATATTTGGTCAGTGGCTTAACTTGTATTCGGTCAGTGGCTTAACTTATATTCGGTCAGCAGCTTAACTTGTATTTGGTCAGTGGCTTAATTTATGTTCGGTCAGTAGCTGAACTTATATTTGGTCAGTGGCCACCCATCCAATGACCAATGGCTTAAGTTATTTTTGGTCACCTGTCCAGTGGCTTCATTTATATTCTATCCGTGCCGTAACTTATATTCGGTCACCTGTCCAATGCCCAATGGCTTAAGTTATATTTGGTCACATGTCCAGTGGCTTAAGTATTTGGTCATGGCTTAACTTTTATTCGGTCAGTGGCTTAACTTGTATTCGGTCAGTGGCTGAATTTATATTTGGTCAGTGGCTTAACTTATATTTGGTCAGTGGCTTAACTTTGGTCAGTGGCTTACCTTTTATTCGGTCAGTAGCTTAACTGGTATTCGGTCAGTGGCTTAACTTATATTCGGTCAGTGGCCACCCATCCAATGACCAATGGTTTAAGTTATATTTGGTCACCTGTCCAGTGGCTTCATTTATATTCTATCTGTGGCGTACCTTCTATTCGGTCACCCATCCAATGACCAATGGCTTAAGTTATATTCGGTCACATGTCCAGTGGCTTAATTTGTATTCAGCCAGTGACTTAACTTATATTTGGTCACTTGTCCAATGCTCAATGGCTTAACTTCTGTTTGGTCACATGTCCAGTGGCCAGTGGCTTTATATTCAGCCAGTGGCTTAAGTTATATTTGGTCACATGTCCAGTGGCTTAACTTGTATTTGGTCAGTGGCTTAATTATATTGGGTCAGTGGCTTGACTTATATTCGGTCATCCAGCCAATGACCAATGGCTTAAGTTATATTTGGTCACTTGTCCATTGGCTTGACTTATATTCGGTCACCTGTCCAGTGACCAATAGCTTAAGTTATATTTGGTCACATGTCCAGTGGCTTAGCATATATTCGGTCAGTGGCTTAACTTATATTTGGTCACCCGTCCAATGAGCAATGGCTTAAGTTATATTTGGTCACCTGTCCATTGCCCAGTGGCTTACATGATACTCTCCTTCCTCCCCGAACAGGTTCTCCGGCCGCCCTCCGGCAAGTCCTCCTCCTCCCCAAAGGCACCCGTACCTCCCCGGAGGTCATCCTGGCTTTGGCCATCCACTGGGCCTTCCTGGAGCGCAACTTTGCCCGCTTTTTCCGCCTGGCCCGTGCGCTGCCTTACTTGCCCAGCTGTGCCTTGTGGCCTCACTTGGTGGACACCCGCCCAAAGGCTTTGGCCGTCCTCAGCCACGGCTTCAGCTCCCGGAATTGCCGGTACCCCTTGGCGCGGCTGGCGCGGATGCTGGCCTTGGGCGGCGTTGAGGAGGCCGCCCAGTTGTGCCGGGCGCACGGCTTGACCGTAGTGGACGACAGCATTGTCTTCCAAAAGGGGGCCTGGAAAGACTCGGCGTCGCCGGCACATCCGTGGCCTTCTTGCCCATTCATGGAGGGCAAAAGGGGGCAAGAGACTCTGCTGGACCTGGCAGAACGCCTCTGCAGCTAACTCGGAACTCTTTAATACTACTACTACTACTACTATGAACTCTTTAATACTACTACTACTACGAACTCTTTAATACTACTACTACTACTACGAACTCTTTAATACTACTACTACTACTACGAACTCTTTAATACTACTACTACTACTACGAACTCTTTAATACTACTACTACTACTACAAACTCTTTAATAATACTACTACTACGAACTCTTTAATACTACTACTACTACGAACTCTTTAATACTACTACTACTACGAACTCTTTAATACTACTACTACGAACTCTTTAATACTACTACTACTACTGTGAACTCTTTAATACTACTACTATTACTACAAACTCTTTAATACTACTACTACTACTACAAACTCTTTAATACTACTACTACTACTACTATGAACTCTTTAATACTACTACTACTACGAACTCTTTAATACTACTACTACTACTACAAACTCTTTAATAATACTACTACTACGAACTCTTTAATACTACTACTACTACGAACTCTTTAATACTACTACTACTACGAACTCTTTAATACTACTACTACGAACTCTTTAATACTACTACTACTACTGTGAACTCTTTAATACTACTACTATTACTACAAACTCTTTAATACTACTACTACTACTACAAACTCTTTAATACTACTACTACGAACTCTTTAATACTACTACTACTACTACTACGAACTCTTTAATACTACTACTACTATGAACTCTTTAATCCTACTACTACTACTACTACAAACTCTTTAATACTACTACTACTACTACTACTACTACTAATAATAATAATAATTTACCCTCTCCTTGCTGGAGAATAATAATATATCCCCAACAGCGTGAGAGTAATAAATTATTATTATCGTCATCAGCATCATCAGTTTTTATTACACACTTGTTCTTCTTGGAGGAGACTAATAATAATATTAATATTAATATTAATAATAATAATAATTTATTGTCTTTGCTGGAGAAAATATATCCCCAACAATGACATTATTATTATTATTATTATTATTATTATTATTATTATTATGTTGTTGTTGTTGTTGTTATAATTACTATTATTATCATTATGTTATTACACTGTCATTCTATTATTACTATTATCATTATATGTTATTACACTGTCATTCTTCTTGAGGAGATATTATTATTCATCTCCTCAAGAAGAATGAGAGTGTAATAACATATAATGATAATAGTAATAATAATAATAATAATAACATACAATAATAATTTATTCTCTCTTTGCTAGAGAAAATATATTCCCGATGTGAGACTATAATAATAATAATAATAATAATAATAATAATTATTATTATTATTATTATTATATGTTGCTGTTATCATTACTATTATCATCTTTGCTGGAGAAAATATATCCCCAACAATATGAGACTTTATTGTTGTTGTTATAATTACTATTATCATTATGTTATTATACTGTCATTCTTCTTGAGGAGATATTATTATTCATCTCCTCAAGAAGAATGTGTGCAATAACATATAATGATAATAATAGTAGTAATAATAATAATAACATACAATAATAATTTATTCCCTCTTTGCTCGAGAAAATATATCCCCAATGTGAGACTATAATAATAATAATAATAATAATAATAATAATAATAATAATATGTTGCTGTTATTATCATTACTATTATTATCATTATATGTTATTACACTCTCATTCTTCTTGAGGAGATATTATTATTCATCTCCTAAAGAAGAATTAGTGTAATAACATATAATGATAATAATAGTAATGATAATAACATACAATAATAATAATAACAACAATAATTTATTCTTTCTTTGCTGAAGAAAATATATCCCCAACAACGTGAGACTTAATTATTATTATTATTATTAATCTCCTCCAGAAGAATAAGTGTAATAACATATAATGGAAATAATAGTAATAATAATAACAACATACAATGATGATGATGAAAATAAAAATATATCCCCAACAATGTGAGACTTAATTATCATTATTATTGTATATTATTATTATTATTATTGTTACTATTATTATCATTATTATGTTATTACATTCTCAATCTTCTTGAGGAGATATTATTATTATTAATCTCCTCAAGAAGAATAAGAGTGTAATAACATATGATAACAATAATAATAATAACATACAATAATAATAATTTATTCTCTCTTTGCTACAGAAAATATATCCCCAACAACGTGAGACTTAATTATTATTATTGTATGTTATTATTATTAATATTATTATTATCATCATTATATGTTATTACACTCTCATTCTTCTTGGGGAGATATTATTATTATTATTCTCTTGAAGAAGAATGAGAATGTAATAACATATAATGATAATGATATAACATACAATGATGATGATGATAAGAATTTATTCTCCCTTTGCTGGAGAAAATATATCCCCAACAACGTGAGACTTAATTATTATTATTGTATGTTATTATTATTATTACTATTATCATCATCATCATCATCATCATGTTATTACACTCTCATTCGTCTTGAGGAGATATTATTATTATTATTCTTTTGAAGCTGCCACTGGGGCCTTTTTGTGTCCGAACGGAACCTGCTCCTGTGCCCAAATAGAACATTCCACCATGTCCAAATGGGATCTTTTCCGTGCCCAAATATGACATTCCACCATGTCCAAAGGAAGCCTTTTCTGTGCCCAAATAGGACATTCCACCATGTCCAAATGGGACCCTTTTTGTGTCCAAATGGGAGCTTTTCCGTGCCCAAATAGGACATTCCACCATGTTCAAATGGGACCTTTTTTGTATCCAAATGGGACCTTTTCTGTGCCCAAATGGGACCTTCCTTTGTGCCCAAATGGAACCATCTTCTGTGCCCAATTGGGACCTTCTTATGTGCCCAAATAGGACTTTCCACCATGTCCAAATGGGACCATATTCTGTTCCCAAATGTGACCTTCTTCTGTGCCCAAATGGGAACGCTACCGGGCACAATTTAAGGTGCTGGCTTTAGCCTATAAAGCCCTACACGGTTCCGGCCCCACTTACCTCTCCGAACGCATCTCCTCCTACGAACCGGGAAGAGCGTTAAGATCTTCCGGGGAGGCCCTGCTCTCGGTTCCGCCGGCGTCACAAGTGCGGCTGGCGGGCACGAGAGACAGGGCCTTCTCGGTGGTGGCCCCTCGGCTATGGAATGCGCTACCGGTGGACATCAGGCAGGCCCCTTCATTGCTGGTGTTTCGGAGGAGGGTGAAGACGTGGCTCTATGAGCAGGCATTCGGATAGTCTATGCAGTAACAACCAATTCAATAATGACGGCATTGGACAAGGAATGGAAATGGATCATGAGATCGGAATCTGATTCTAAGTGTGGCGTTGATGACTATGTGTTTGTTTGTATTGTGTGTCTTATACATTGTTTAGTGTTGTTTTTACTGTAAACCACATAGAGTCGCCGCTTTAGGCTGATATATGCGGTATACAAATGGAGTAAATAAATAAATAAATAAATAAACTCCCACTGTGTCCAAATGGGACCTTCTTCTGTGCCCAAATGGAACCGTCTTCTGTACCTAATTGGGACCTTTTTATGTGCCCAAATATGACATTCCACCATGTCCAAATGGGACCTTCTTCTGTGCCCAAGTGGGAACTCCCACTGTGTCCAAATGGGACCTTCTTCTGTGCCCAAATGGAACTGTCCTCTGTGCCCAATTGGGACCTTCCTCTGTGCCCAAATAGGACATTCCACCACGTCCAAATGGGACCTTCTTCTGTGCCCAAGTGGGAACTCCCACTGTGTCCAAATGGGACCTTCTTCTGTGCCCAAATGGAACCATCCTCTGTGCCCAATTGGGACCTTCCTCTGTGCCCAAATAGGACATTCCACCACGTCCAAATGGGATCTTCTTCTATGCCCAAATGGGACCTCCTTCTGTGCCCAAATGGGACTTCCTTTCCACTCCCCTTATGGGACAACCGCCCCATTTCCCCGGTTGCGTTTGCGCGCCACTTTTGAAGCCGTAGGCCCCTCTTAGCTGTCGATAGGGTTGGGGTGGGTTGGATACGTGGGGTTGTTGTTGTGTTGTTGTTTCTACTGGATTTAAGACATTTGAAGCCCCTCCACAAAGGTCGGAAACGGGGAGGAAAACACAATTCTTCAGGCAATAACTGCAGACCACCCTCGAAGTGAGAGAGAGGGTCAAGAGAAGGTTGAACACACCTTGGCCGCTCCTCCCCTCCTGTGTCTCCTTCCTTCCCTTCTCCCCAAATTATGGCACTGATTTGGGTTTTGCCCAGACCCAGATACCTAAGAAGAAGAATGAGAGTGTGATAACATATAATGATAATAATAGTAATAATATTAACAACAACAACAACATACAATAGTAATAATATTCTCTCTTTACTGGAGAAAATATATCCCCAACCATGTGAGACTTAATTATTATTATTATATGTTGTTATTATTATTATTATTATTATTATTATTATTATTACTATTACTATTATTATCGTTATGTTATTACACTCTCATTCTTCTTGAGGAAATATTATTATTATAATTATTATTATTATTATTATTATTATTATTATTCTCTTGAAGAAGATATATCCCCAACAATGTGAGACTTCATTATTATTACTGTATGTTATTATTATTATTATTACTACTACTACTACTATTACTATTATTATCATTATGTTATTACAGTCTCATTCTTCTTGAGTAAATATTATTATTATTATTATTATTATTATTATTATTATTATTCTCTTGAAGAAGATATATCCCCAACAATGTGAGACTTTATTATTATTATTGTATGTTATTATTATTATTACTACTACTACTATTACTATTATTATCATTATGTTATTACACTCTCATTCTTCTTGCGGAAATATTATTATTATTATTATTATTATTATTATTATTAATTATTATTATTATTATTCTCTTGAAGAAGATATATCCCCAACAATGTGAGACTTCATTATTATTATTGTATGTTATTATTATTATTATTATTACTACTACTACTATTACTATTATTATCATTATGTTATTACACTCTCATTCTTCTTCAGGAAATATTATTATTATTATTATTATTATTATTATTCTCTTGAAGAAGATATATCCCCAACAATGTGAGATGACGACGACGACTACTACTACTACTACTACTTCTACTTCTTCTTTGTACTATTATTATCATTATATGTTATTACACTCTCATTCTTCTTCAGGAGATTAATAATGATAGTAATACCTTCTCTTTCTTGTGGGAGATATTATTTTTTATTATATGTTGTTATTACACTCTAATTCAGTGTTTCTCTGAATGCCTCGACCCCTGAATACCGTTCCTCGTGTTGTGGTGACCGACCCCCCCCCCCCAACAATAACATTATTTTTGTCGCTACTTCACAACTTTAATGTTGCTCCTCTTGCGAAGAAACACAACCCAATGGCTCAAAAGGTTAATAAACAGTTTATTTTGCATTGTACAAGGTCATTTCCCCCATACATTTTGAATTAAAAGTTTTGCTGGTAAAGTGCTGAAATAGAGGGGTTTTTTTTCTCCCCTCCATTTACTGTTTTAGTTTGAAACCGAAATATATGTGTAAATCTTAAAAGAGATCTGATGGATGGGAAGGAATAAAGTAACCGTCGAAGAAAAAAAAAATATTTTCCACCACTTTGAAAACTCCTGCCTTATTATACAAAAAAAAAATAATAACAAAATATACGGAGGAAACTAAGATAAGTGACGTTTGCCACGATTTCCCTTTAGTGTGTTGTCTCTTCCGTCAAACCGTACTGAAATTATTTTTACAGATTTTCAGTTCCGAAAATTGCATGCAAAATCGGAAAATATTGAATTCGTTTCGAGTTTCTAAATTGAAATTTACAGATTTTCAGTTCTGAAAATCGCATGCAAAACTGGAAAATTTTGAATCTGTTCCGAGTTTCCAAACTGAAATTATTTGAAATTTACTGATTTTCAGTTCTGAAAATTGCATGCAGAATTGGAAAACTTTGAGTCCGTTTCAAGTTTCCAAACTGAAATTATTTGAAATTTACAGATTTTCATTTCTGAAAATGGCATGCAGAATCGGAAAATTTTGAGTCCGTTTCAAGTTTCCAAACTGAAATTATTTGAAATTTACAGATTTTCAGTTCCGAAAATCGCATGCAAAATCGAAACTAAGATAAGTGATGTTTTCCATGATTCCCTTTAGTGTGTTGTCTCTTTTGTCAAAACCGTACTGAAATTATTTGAAATATACAGGTTTTAGGTTCCGAAAATCACATGCAAAATCGGAACATTTTGAGTCCGTTTCGAGTTTCCAAACTGAAATTATTTGAAATTTACAGATTTTCAGTTCTGAAAGTCGCATGCAAAATCGGAAAATTTTGAGTCCGTTTCAAGTTTCCAAAATTAAAATTTGAAATTTACAGATTTTCAGTTCCGAAAATCGCATGCAAAATCGGAAAGTTTTGAGTCCGTTTCGAGTTTCCAAACTGAAAATATTTGAAATTTACAGATTTTCAGTTCCGAAAATCGCATGCAAAATCGGAAAATTTTGAGTCCGTTTCGAGTTTCCAAACTGAAATTATTTGCAATTTACAGATTTTCAGTTCCGAAAATCGCATGCAAAATCGGAAAATTTTGAGCCCGTTTCCAGTTTCCAAAATCGCATGCAAAATCGGAAAATTTTGAGTCCGTTTCCAGTTTCCAAAATTGAAATTATTTGCAATTTACAGATTTTCAGTTCTGAAAATCGCATGCAAAATCGGAATATTTTGAGTCTGTTTCGAGTTTCCAAACTGAAAATATTTGAAATTCACAGATTTTCGGTTCCGAAAATCGCATGCAAAATCGGAAAATTTTGAGTCCGAGTTTCCAAATTCAACGTATCTCAGTTGCCTCGATATATTTTACAGTGTTTTTCGTCTCTTTTAAAAATATATCCGCTTTTCCCCGTGACGACGTCACTCTCCCCTCCGAAAAGCCAAAAAAAAAAAAAAAAAAAAAAAAAAGGACACATTTCCGTCAATCCAGAGATTTTGCAAGATTGGGAAGAGATTAAAAGATAACATTTCTTTAAAAGCGTCGGTAAGTAAACATAAAGCTCTCGGCAGACGAAGCGCAAACCCGAACCCGGAAAATGCATCCCTCAGATCTGTACACCCCTTTGTTTATTATTTTTCTTTCATTCTTTATTGGCACAGCTTTAAAATATCACATAATTCGAGACTTTTCCTCTTCGAAATCTATAGGATTTATGTTTTCCAAAGGAAACCTATTTCCAATTGATATCATTGATCACTGAACCGGAAGCCCCCCCCCCCGCTTCAAAACTTAAGAAATAGTAATAATAATTGGCACATCTCACAGTTCGTTCTTCTTGTGACGGCTTTGGTCTTGCATAGCTGGATCTATGTTGAAAACAGTAGTCGACTCTCTTAAAAAACGTCGGATTTCTGGCTGCGAGGCCTATACCGTTTTGCCGAGTATCGCAAGCGAGGAAATGTATATATATATACATGCACACAGATGGAAGGAGATGGAAAGAGACGTGTGGTTTTCTATATACACAGAGGCCGTATATGTACACGAGACGCATGCCGGCGCTTCACTCTTTCTTCTTGGCCACCGTCAGCTCCACCGACGGCACCCGGAAACCGGCTTTCGTCCCGCTGTCGTTGCTCGAGGACGAGGACAGGCGGGACTTCTTGGACGCCAACGACGCCGTCTTCTCGTCGTCGCTCCCGGTGACTTCGTAGGAGCCTTTGGTTTTGGAGCCGATACCGCCGAAGGTGCCGAACTTCAGCTTGGCGCCGTGCTTGCCTTTCTCGACGTCGTGCTCCAAAGTGCCGGTCGGCGTCGAATGCGACGAGTGGTCGTCGCTGAAAGACGAGGAGCGGTGCCGGGACTTCTTGGTCTTGAAGAAGGAGAATTTCCCTTTGGGCGAGGAGGCGGCCACTTCTCCGCTGACCTCGACGTCGCCCTCTAAGGAGCCCAAGCTCGCCTTCAGCTCTCCTCCGGACACTTCGCCGCCTTTCGCTTTCGGCTTCGAGAACGCAAACTTCGGCATCTTGATTTTGGACTTCTTCAGCTTCAGGTCGGGTTCTTCCAGCTCGACGTTCGCAAGGGCGGTCGCCTGCGGGAACTCGACGTCGACCCCGACTTCCCTCCCGGTCGCCTCCTGCCCCGAAACGACAAATTTGGGCATCTTCATCTTCGGGAATGAGACTTTCCCAGACGGGCTTTCCAAATGGCCGTGCATGCCTTTGATGTCCACTCCTCCCTTTGGTCCGGAAACGTGGAGGTCTCCCGTCCCTTGGATGCCGACGTCGAACTCCGGAGATTTGATTTTAGGCCCTTTCAAATTGATGTCGAAGTCCGTCCCGGAAATTTTGGGACCGGAAACGTTGAGGGACGGCCCTCGCAAGCTGACGTCCGGTGCTTCGGCGTCGAACCCCACGCCGGGCATCTTCACCCCCGCCGTGCCCACTTTCACATCGCCTTTCAAACTTGGTCCTTTCAGGTTCAAATCGAAGTCTGGGGCGGAAAGGTTCGGCCCTTGGATGTCGATGCCGGGTCCTTCACCGGAGATGTCGAACTGGGGGATCTTCATGCAAGGAAGTCTGATTCCGGTCCCACCGCCTTCTACGTTCACTTGAGGCGCCTCGAACTTCGGGGACAAGACGCCGCCGGAAAAGCCGAGATCTCCCTTCACTTTTGGTCCTTTGAGATTCACATCAAAATCAGGAGCGGAACCTATTTTCACTGCCGGTCCTTTCACATCAAGGTCTGGAGTGCTTACGTTGACGTCTAGACCTGGGGACTTCGGCAAGTTGAGCTTCCCGTCGAAACCGCCAATGTCGACATCCGGAGCGCTGAAACCGACCTTCGGGCCTTTCACGTCGCCGGAAAGACCAAAGTCTCCTCCTAGTTTTGGTCCTTTCAAGCTTAAGTCGGCTGCGCCTCCAACACTCGGGCCGGAGACGTCGACGCTCACGGAGGGTGAATGTCCCTGAAGGTTGACGTCAGGCCCTTCCAACTTCACTCCTGGTTTCCCGATTTTCGGCAAGCCAAATTTAGGGAACTTCAGCTTCCCTTCTGGACCGTGCAATTCCGCGTGGGGAAGCTTAACGTCGCCGGTTATCTTTGGTCCTTTCAAGTTGAGATCCATGTCTGGGGCGGAGAGGGACGGAGCGGAGATATCGACGGAGGGGCCTCTCAGGTTGAGGTCCGGAGCGTTGAGTTTGGCGTCGAAGCTGGGCATCTGGACATCGCCTTCCAATTTGGGGCCGGCGAAGTCGACGTTCCCACCGGAGATGTTCATTTTGGGCTTCTTCAGGTGGACATCGGGACCTCCGATGTTGACGTCGGGGAGGCTGGCGCTTCCGCCGGGAACGGTGACGTCGAGATCTCCTTCCACTTTGGGCAACGAAGCGTCGGCCTTGAAGACGGGGGACTTGATATCGAACTCGACGTCGGGGAACGAGAGCTTCCCAAAGACGGACTTCCCCTTCGGCGACTTGACGTTCAGGTCTCCTTTCAGGGACGCTTCAGGGATGGAGACGCTTCCTTCCAAATCGGGCGATTTCATATTGGCGTCCACCTCTCCGCTCACGTCGAAGCCGGCCTTCTTCCCTTTGATTTTCGGCCCGCTCATGTGGATCTTGGGCATCTTGAACTTGCTCTTCTTCCCTTTGGCGGAAAGGGCGACGTCGGGCGACTCGAGGTTGAGTTCCCCTTCCGGAAGAGAGACGTCCAAATTGGGAGTCTTCACTTCGGCCTTGGGACTCTTGGCTCCGAACCCAAATTTCGGCATCTTAAATTTCGGGAGTTTGACGCTTCCTTCGGGACCTTCAACGTTCACATCTGGACACTCCAAGTCAATATTCGGACCTTTGACTCCGATCCCTGGGCCTTCAATGTCCATTTCTGGGCCTTTGAGGTTGAGATCCCCCTTCGCTTTGGGTCCTTTCAGATTCAAATCAATGTCCGGCATGGATATCTGAGGGGTCTTGAAATGCATTTCGGGCATTGTGACTTTAGGGCCTTTCAGTTGTCCTTCAACATCCAAACTGGGAGCTTCGACGTCGACTTTGGGGCCAGAAAATTCCAAATCTCCTTTGGGTAGGTTGACATCAACGTCAGGTCCTTCTCCTTTGAATCCAGGCAGGCCAAATTTGGGTAACTTCATCTTGGGTAACTTCATCTTTGGACCATGGAGATCCACGTCTGGAGCGTCAATGTCCAACTTCGGACCTTTGATGTCAATTTCAGGGCCTTTGAAATCTCCTTCAAGTTTCGGGCCAGAAATGTTGACGTCACCTTTCATCTGTGGTCCTTTCAGGTTGAGATCGACGTCAGGCATGGAGATCTTGGGCGTCTTCATGTGCATTTCGGGCATCTTAAATTTCGGGCCTTTCCATTTTCCATCAGGACCTTCCAACTCAACGTCCGGAACGTCTACATCTAGTTTCGGTCCCTTGAGGTCAAAATCGGGACCTTCCAACTTGGGTGCTGACACATCGACATCTCCTTTCACCTTGGGACCTTTCAGGTTCAAGTCGAAGTCTGGCATTGAAATTTTGGGCGTCTTAAAATGCATGTCGGGCATCTTGAACTTCGGCCCTTTGAGTTTTCCTTCAGGACATTCCAAGTCCATGTCCGGGACTGAAACATCCACTTTGGGGCCCTTTATATCAAAGTCTGGACCCTTCAGGTCACCACCAATCTTGGGGCCGGATACATCCAGGTCAACGTCTCCCTTCAGTTTGGGGCCCTTCAAGTTGAAGTCCACGTCTGGCATGGAGATCTTGGGAGCTTTGATGTTCATTTCGGGCATCTTAAACCGAGGACCTTTCAGTTTTCCATCTGGTCCTTCGATATCAATGTCAGGAAGATCTACTTGAGGACCTTTCAGGTCGATATCAGGGCCTCTTAGATCCCCTTCCAACTTTGGGACGGAAACATCCACATCACCTTTCACTTTAGGTCCTTTCAGGTTCAGGTTCATATCTGGCATGGAGATTTTAGGTGTCTTGAAATGCATGTCCGGCATCTTGAATTTAGGGCCTTTCAACTTTGGATCAGGAACTTCGAGATCAACATCGGGAACGTCAACATCTAGCTTCGGCCCTTTGATGTCAAAGTCGGGACCCTTGAAATCACCTTCCAACTTTGGTACGGACACATCCACATCTCCTTTCAAATTGGGACCCTTCAGGTTGAAGTCCACATCAGGCATGGAGATTTTAGGTGTCTTGAAGTGCATGTCGGGCATCTTGAACTTGGGACCTTTCAGCTTTCCTTCTGGACCTTCAACATCCAAGCTTGGTGCTTCAAGGTCTACTTTTGGAAGAGAAACATCCAGGTCTGCTTTGGGGAGACTCAGGTCCACATCTGGGCCTTCTGCCTTGAAGCCTGGCACCCCAAATTTAGGCATCTTGAACTTGGGCATCTTGAGTTTCCCTTCTGGCCCATGGAGGTCAACATCTGGTGCATCGATATCGAGTTTGGGACCTTTGATGTCAAAATCGGGTCCTTTCAGATCTCCTTCAAGCTTGGGAGCAGAAACATCTAGATCTCCCTTCAGTTTGGGACCTTTGAGGTTGAAGTCCACATCAGGCATGGAGATCTTGGGAGTCTTGAAGTGCATGTCGGGCATCTTGAACTTGGGACCTTTCAGCTTTCCTTCTGGACCCTCAACATCCAAGCTTGGTGCTTCAAGGTCCACTTTTGGAAGAGAAACATCCAGGTCCGCTTTGGGGAGACTCAAGTCCACATCTGGGCCTTCTGCCTTGAAGCCTGGCATCCCAAATTTGGGCATCTTGAACTTGGGCATCTTCAGTTTCCCTTCTGGCCCATGGAGGTCAATATCTGGAGCATCTATATCAAGTTTGGGACCTTTGATGTCAAAATCGGGTCCTTTCAGATCTCCTTCAAGCTTGGGAGCAGAAACATCTAGATCACCCTTCAGTTTGGGACCTCTGAGGTTGAAGTCCACATCAGGCATGGAAATCTTGGGTGCCTTGAAGTGCATGTCTGGCATCTTAAATTTAGGACCTCTCATCTTTGCATCTGGACCTTCAAGCTCAACATCGGGAACATCTACATCTAGCTTCGGTCCTTTGATGTCAAAATCGGGACCTTTCAAATCACCTTCCAACTTAGGCACGGAAACATCCACATCTCCTTTCACTTTGGGTCCTTTCAGGTTCAAGTCAAAATCTGGCATGGAGATCTTGGGGGTCTTGAAGTGCATGTCAGGCATCTTGAATTTGGGTCCTTTCAACTTTCCTTCTGGACCCTCAACATCCAAGCTTGGTGCTTCAAGGTCCACTTTTGGAAGAGAAACATCCAGGTCCGCTTTGGGGAGACTCAAGTCTACATCTGGGCCTTCTGCCTTGAAGCCTGGCATCCCAAATTTGGGCATCTTGAACTTGGGCATCTTCAGTTTCCCTTCTGGTCCATGGAGGTCAACATCTGGAGCATCGATGTCAAGTTTGGGACCTTTGATGTCAAAATCTGGTCCTTTTATATCTCCTTCTAACTTCGGAGCAGACACATCTAGATCACCCTTCAGTTTGGGACCTCTGAGGTTGAAGTCCACATCAGGCATGGAGATCTTTGGAGCCTTAATGTTCAGTTCAGGCATTTTGAATTTAGGGCCTCTCAACTTTGCATCTGGACCTTCAAGCTCAACATCAGGAACATCTACATCTAGCTTCGGTCCTTTGATGTCAAAATCGGGACCTTTCAAATCACCTTCCAACTTCGGCACGGAAACATCCACATCTCCTTTCACTTTGGGACCCTTCAGGTTCAAGTCAAAGTCCGGCATGGAGATCTTGGGGGTCTTGAAGTGCATGTCGGGCATCTTGAACTTGGGACCCTTCCACTTTCCATCGGGACCTTCAATCTCTACATCAGGTGCGTCAATGTCCAGTTTAGGACCCTTGATATCAAAGTCTGGGCCTTTGAGGTCACCTTCCAGCTTTGGAACCGAAACGTCAACATCTCCCTTTAGTTTGGGGCCTTTCAGATTCAAATCAATGTCAGGCATGGAGATTTTGGGGGTCTTGAAGTGCATGTCAGGCATCTTGAACTTCGGTCCTTTCAGCTTTCCTTCTGGACCCTCAACATCCAAGCTTGGTCCTTCAAGGTCCACTTTTGGAAGGGAAACGTCAAGGTCTGCTTTGGGGAGACTCACGTCCACATCTGGGCCTTCCGCCTTAAAACTCGGCATTCCAAATTTGGGCATCTTGAACTTGGGCATCTTGAGTTTTCCTTCTGGTCCGTGAAGGTCAACATCTGGAGCATCAATATCAAGTTTGGGACCTTTGATGTCTAATTCCGGTCCTTTCAGATCTCCTTCTAACTTTGGAGCAGACACATCTAAATCACCCTTCAGTTTGGGACCTTTGAGGTTGAAGTCTACATCAGGCATGGAGATCTTTGGGGCCTTAATGTTCAGTTCAGGCATCTTAAATTTAGGGCCTCTCAACTTTCCTTCTGGACCTTCAAGCTCAACATCAGGGACGTCCACATCTAGCTTTGGTCCGTGTATGTCAATACTGGGACCTTTCAGATCACCTTCCAACTTAGGTATGGAAACATCCACATCTCCTTTCACTTTGGGACCCTTGAGGTTCAAGTCAATGTCTGGCATGGAGATCTTGGGGGTCTTGAAGTGCATGTCAGGCATCTTGAACTTGGGGCCCTTCCACTTTCCATCGGGACCTTCAATCTCAACATCAGGAGCATCAATGTCCAGTTTAGGACCCTTGATATCAAAATCTGGGCCTTTGAGATCACCTTCCAGCTTTGGAACCGAGACGTCAACATCCCCCTTCAGTTTAGGACCTTTGAGGTTCATGTCCAGGTCAGGCATGGAGATTTTGGGGGTCTTAAAATGTATATCTGGCATCTTAAACTTAGGTCCTTTCAACTTCCCTTCTGGGCCTTCAATGTCAACATCAGGAAGGTTTGCGTCCAGCTGTGGACCCTTGAGGTCGAGATCTGGGCCCTTCAGATCTCCTTCCAACTTTGGAACAGAAACATCAACATCTCCCTTCAACTTAGGACCTTTCAAGTTCAAGTCTATGTCTGGCATTGAGATCTTGGGCATCCCGAAGTGCATGTCTGGCATTTTGAATTTGGGGCCTTTGATTTTGCCCTCGGGGCCTTCGATGTCCAAGTCTGGGGCTTCAATGTCTACTTTGGGACCTGTGACGTCAAGGTCTGCTTTGGGAAGGTTGACGTCCACCTCGGGCCCTTTCATCCCAAACTTGGGCATCTTGAACTTGGGCATCTTCAGCTTCGCCTCCGGTCCGTGCAAGTCAACATCTGGTGCCGCGATGTCCAACTTCGGACCTTTTATATCAATTTCGGGACCTTTCAGATCTCCTTCCAGGCTTGGAGAAGAGACATCTAGGTCTCCTTTCAGTTTAGGTGCTTTCAAATTCAACTCCACATCTGGGACGGAGACTTTGGGCGACGATATATTCAAGGATGGCATCTTAAACTTAGAACCTTTCACTTTGCCTTGGAGGTCAACATCTGGGCCTTGGACGTCAACTTTGGGGCCGGAAACGTCAATGTCTGGCTTCTTCAACTTGACGTCAACCTCGGGGCTATGGACCTTTGGGCCAGAAAAATTGAATTTGGGAAGCTTGAACCTCGATTTCTTTGGCTTTGCTTCAATGTCTATTTTTGGTGCCTCCAAGTCGATGTCTGGCCCTTTGAGCTCCACGTTGGGTCCTTTGATGTCCCCTTCGAGATCCCCCTTTATTTTGGGGCCTCTCAGGTTCAGGTCAATGTCTGGCATTGAGATCTTGGGGACATTGAAATGCATGTCGGGCTTCTTAAACTTAGGACCCTTCAATTTCCCTTCTGGGCCTTCAATGTCCAAATCTGGTGTTTCAATGTCCAGTTTTGGGGCAGAGATGTCCACTTCTCCTTTGGGCAAGTTCACGTCCACTGAAGGACCTTCTCCTTTGAAGCCTGGCATCCCAAACTTGGGCATCTTGAACTTGGGCATCTTGAGTTTTCCTTCTGGTCCATGGAGGTCAACATCTGGAGCATCAATGTCTAACTTGGGACCTTTGATGTCAAATTCTGGTCCTTTCAGATCTCCTTCGAGCTTTGGAGCAGAAACATCAAGATCTCCCTTCAGTTTGGGACCTTTGAGGTTGAAGTCCACGTCAGGCATGGAGATCTTAGGTGCCTTGATGTGCATCTCAGGCATCTTGAACTTAGGGCCTTTGATTTTTCCTTCTGGGCCTTCAATGTCGAATTCGGGGCCTTCAAGGTCCACCTTTGGAGCAGACACGTCAATATCTCCTTTCGGGAGATTGACATCAATCTCAGGACCTTCCCCTTTGAAGCCAGGCATCCCAAACTTGGGCATCTTGAACTTGGGCATCTTCAGTTTTCCTTCTGGCCCATGGAGGTCAACATCTGGTGCATCGATATCGAGTTTGGGACCTTTGATGTCAATGTTGGGGCCTTCTACTTTTGGCAGGGAAACATCAACATCTCCTTTCCAGTTGGGACCTTTGAGGTTGAAGTCTACATCAGGCATGGAGATCTTGGGAGCTTTGATATTCATTTCGGGCATCTTGAATTTGGGGCCTCTCAACTTTCCTTCTGGACCTTCAAGCTCGACATCGGGAACATCTACATCTAGCTTCGGTCCTTTGATGTCAAAATCGGGACCTTTCAAATCACCTTCCAACTTTGGCACGGAAACATCCACATCTCCTTTCACTTTGGGACCCTTCAGGTTCAAGTCGAAGTCCGGCATGGAGATCTTGGGGGTCTTGAAGTGCATGTCGGGCATCTTGAACTTGGGACCCTTCCACTTTCCATCGGGACCTTCAATCTCTACATCAGGTGCGTCAATGTCCAGTTTAGGACCYTTGATATCAAARTCTGKGCCTTTGAGGTCACCTTCCAGCTTTGGAACCGAAACGTCAACATCTCCCTTTAGTTTGGGGCCTTTCAGATTCAAATCAATGTCAGGCATGGAGATTTTGGGGGTCTTGAAGTGCATGTCAGGCATCTTGAACTTAGGTCCTTTCAGCTTTCCTTCTGGACCTTCAACATCCAAGCTTGGTCCTTCAAGGTCTACTTTTGGAAGGGAAACGTCAACGTCTGCTTTGGGGAGACTCAGATCTACATCTGGGCCTTCTCCCTTAAAGCTGGGCATTCCAAATTTGGGCATCTTGAACTTGGGCATCTTCAGTTTCCCTTCTGGCCCATGGAGGTCAATATCTGGAGCATCTATATCAAGTTTGGGACCTTTGATGTCAAAATCGGGTCCTTTCAGATCTCCTTCAAGCTTGGGAGCAGAAACATCTAGATCACCCTTCAGTTTGGGACCTCTGAGGTTGAAGTCCACATCAGGCATGGAAATCTTGGGTGCCTTGAAGTGCATGTCTGGCATCTTAAATTTAGGACCTCTCATCTTTGCATCTGGACCTTCAAGCTCAACATCGGGAACATCTACATCTAGCTTCGGTCCTTTGATGTCAAAATCGGGACCTTTCAAATCACCTTCCAACTTAGGCACGGAAACATCCACATCTCCTTTCACTTTGGGTCCTTTCAGGTTCAAGTCAAAATCTGGCATGGAGATCTTGGGGGTCTTGAAGTGCATGTCAGGCATCTTGAATTTGGGTCCTTTCAACTTTCCTTCTGGACCCTCAACATCCAAGCTTGGTGCTTCAAGGTCCACTTTTGGAAGAGAAACATCCAGGTCCGCTTTGGGGAGACTCAAGTCTACATCTGGGCCTTCTGCCTTGAAGCCTGGCATCCCAAATTTGGGCATCTTGAACTTGGGCATCTTCAGTTTCCCTTCTGGTCCATGGAGGTCAACATCTGGAGCATCGATGTCAAGTTTGGGACCTTTGATGTCAAAATCTGGTCCTTTTATATCTCCTTCTAACTTCGGAGCAGACACATCTAGATCACCCTTCAGTTTGGGACCTCTGAGGTTGAAGTCCACATCAGGCATGGAGATCTTTGGAGCCTTAATGTTCAGTTCAGGCATTTTGAATTTAGGGCCTCTCAACTTTGCATCTGGACCTTCAAGCTCAACATCAGGAACATCTACATCTAGCTTCGGTCCTTTGATGTCAAAATCGGGACCTTTCAAATCACCTTCCAACTTCGGCACGGAAACATCCACATCTCCTTTCACTTTGGGACCCTTCAGGTTCAAGTCAAAGTCCGGCATGGAGATCTTGGGGGTCTTGAAGTGCATGTCGGGCATCTTGAACTTGGGACCCTTCCACTTTCCATCGGGACCTTCAATCTCTACATCAGGTGCGTCAATGTCCAGTTTAGGACCYTTGATATCAAARTCTGKGCCTTTGAGGTCACCTTCCAGCTTTGGAACCGAAACGTCAACATCTCCCTTTAGTTTGGGGCCTTTCAGATTCAAATCAATGTCAGGCATGGAGATTTTGGGGGTCTTGAAGTGCATGTCAGGCATCTTGAACTTMGGTCCTTTCARYTTTCCTTCTGGACCCTCAACATCCAAGCTTGGTCCTTCAAGGTCCACTTTTGGAAGGGAAACGTCAAGGTCTGCTTTGGGGAGAYTCACRTCCACATCTGGGCCTTCYGCCTTRAAACTCGGCATTCCAAATTTGGGCATCTTGAACTTGGGCATCTTGAGTTTTCCTTCTGGYCCRTGAAGGTCAACATCTGGAGCATCAATATCRAGTTTGGGACCTTTGATGTCWAAWTCYGGTCCTTTCAGATCTCCTTCTAACTTYGGAGCAGACACATCTARATCWCCCTTCAGTTTGGGACCTYTGAGGTTGAAGTCTACATCAGGCATGGAGATCTTTGGGGCCTTAATGTTCAGTTCAGGCATCTTAAATTTAGGGCCTCTCAACTTTCCTTCTGGACCTTCAAGCTCAACATCGGGAACATCTACATCTAGCTTCGGTCCTTTAATGTCAAAATCAGGACCTTTGAAATCACCTTCCAACTTAGGCACGGAAACATCCACATCTCCTTTCACTTTGGGTCCTTTCAGGTTCAAGTCAAAGTCCGGCATGGAGATCTTGGGGGTCTTGAAGTGCATGTCAGGCATCTTGAATTTGGGACCTCTCAACTTTCCTTCAGGTCCTTCCAAATCGATGTCGGGAACGTCAACATCCAGTTTGGGACCTTTAATGTCAAAGTCTGGTCCTTTCAGATCTCCTTCCACCTTCGGAACGGAGATATCAACATCTCCTTTCAACTTGGGGCCTTTCAGGTTGAAGTCAACATCTGGCATGGAGATTTTGGGAGTCTTGAAGTGCATGTCAGGCATCTTGAACTTAGGTCCTTTCAGCTTTCCTTCTGGACCTTCAACATCCAAGCTTGGTCCTTCAAGGTCTACTTTTGGAAGGGAAACGTCAACGTCTGCTTTGGGGAGACTCAGATCTACATCTGGGCCTTCTCCCTTAAAGCTGGGCATTCCAAATTTGGGCATCTTGAACTTGGGCATCTTCAGTTTCCCTTCTGGCCCATGGAGGTCAACATCTGGAGCATCGATATCGAGTTTGGGACCTCTGATGTCAATTTCCGGTCCTTTCAAATCTCCTTCAAGCTTAGGAGCAGAAACATCTAGATCTCCCTTCATTTTGGGACCTCTGAGGTTGAAGTCCACGTCAGGCATGGAAATCTTGGGTGCCTTGAAGTGCATATCTGGCATCTTGAATTTAGGACCTCTCAACTTTCCTTCTGGACCTTCAAGCTCGACATCGGGAACATCTACATCTAGCTTTGGTCCTTGGATGTCAATATCGGGACCTTCCAATTTTGGCACAGAAACATCCACATCTCCCTTCAATTTGGGCCCCTTCAGGTTCAAGTCAAAGTCTGGCATGGAGATATTGGGGGTCTTGAAGTGCATGTCAGGCATCTTGAACTTGGGACCCTTCCACTTTCCATCGGGACCTTCAATTTCTACATCAGGGGCATCAATGTCCAGTTTAGGGCCCTTGATATCAATATCTGGGCCTTTGAGGTCACCTTCCAGCTTTGGAACTGAAACGTCAACATCTCCCTTTAATTTGGGGCCTCTCAGATTCAGATCAATGTCAGGCATGGAGATTTTGGGGGTCTTGAAGTGCATGTCGGGCATCTTAAACTTGGGACCTTTCACTTTTCCTTCTGGTAATTCTACATCTAAACTCGGTGCCTCAACGTCAACTTTTGGAAGGGAAACGTCAAGGTCCGTTTTGGGGAGACTCACATCCACATCTGGGCCTTCTGCCTTGAAGCCCGGCATCCCAAATTTGGGCATCTTGAACTTGGGCATCTTCAGCTTCCCTTCTGGCCCATGAAGGTCAACATCTGGAGCATCAATATCTAGCTTAGGACCTTTGATGTCTATGTCTGGCCCTTCTAGCTTTGGGGCAGAAACATCAACATCACCTTTGATTTTGGGACCTCTCAGGTTGAAGTCAACATCTGGCATGGAGATTTTGGGAGCTTTGATGTTCATTTCAGGCATCTTAAACTTTGGAGTCTTCCACTTTCCTTCAGGGCCTTCAATGTCAACATCAGGCGCATCAATGTCCAGTTTAGGACCTTTGATATCAATGTTTGGACCTTTGAGGTCACCTTCAAGTTTTGGAACTGAAACATCCACATCTCCTTTCAATTTAGGACCTTTCAGGTTGAAGTCAACGTCTGGCATGGAGATTTTGGGAGCCTTGATGTGCATCTCCGGCATCTTAAACCTGGGTCCTTTCACTTTCCCTTCGGGGCCTTCAATGTCCAAACTTGGTCCTTCAAAATCTCCTTTTGGAAGAGAGACGTCGAGGTCTGCTTTGGGGAGGCTGACGTCCACATCTGGGCCTTCTGCTCTGAACCCAGGCATCCCGAACTTGGGCATCTTGAACTTGGGCATCTTGAGTTTACCTTCGGGGCCATGGAGCTCAACATCAGGGGCATCAATGTCCAGTTTGGGCCCTTTGATGTCCACATCTGGACCTTCTACTTTCGGAAGGGAGACATCGACGTCGCCTTTCCATTTGGGACCTTTCAGGTCGATGTCTGGCATGGAGATATGGGGCATCTTGAACTTGGGTCCTTTCACTTTGCCTTCAGGGCCTTCCAAGCTAACATCAGGGGCTTTAAGGTCCACTTTGGGACCTTTGAGGTCAGCGTCGATATTTGGAACAGTGACGTCCATCTCTCCTCTCGATCCTGGGCCTTTCAGGTGCAGGTCAACGTCAGGCATGGAGATCTTTGGAGCTTTGATGTTCAGTTTTGGCATTTTGAACCTGGAACCTTTAAGCTTCCCTTCGGGGCCTTCAATGTCGATGTCTGGAGCTTCTAAGTCGATCTTTGGACCAGCAAGGTCAAGGTCTCCTTTCGGCAGGTTCATATCTACATCCGGGCCTTCAAGTTTGGGCCCAGAGACGCTAAAGTGTGGCATCTTCAACTTGGGCATCTTCAGCCCAAGATCCACATCAGGAGCACTGAAGTCAACTGAGGGTCCCTTGATGTCAATGTTGGGGCCCTTCAGGTCTCCTTCCAATTTGGGGACGGACACGTCAACATCTCCCTTGAATTTGGGTCCCTTCAGGTTCAAGTCTATGTCTGGCATGGAGATTTTGGGGGTCTTGAAATGCATCTCTGGCATTTTAAACTTGGGGCCCTTGAGTTTTCCTTCTGGACCTTCAAGGTCTACACTTGGCATGTCAAGATCCAGCTCTCCTTTGGGGAGGCTCACGTCAACATCAGGACCTTCAGCTTTGAAGCCGGGCATTCCAAACTTGGGCATCTTCATTTTGGGCATCTTCAGTTTGGCGTCTGGGCCTTCGAGGTCAACGTCTGGGACATCGACGTCAAGTTTGGGACCCTTGACGTCAATGCTGGGTCCTTTCAATTCACCCTCGAGCTTTGGAACCGTGACGTCCATTTCGCCCTTCATTTTGGGGACCTTCAAGTCCAGGTCTACATCTGGCATGGAGAGCTTAGGAGCCTTGATATTCAGTTTGGGCATCTTGAACTTGGGGCCTTTGATTTTGCCTTCAGGACCTTCCATTTCCACCTCAGGGACATCGACATCCAGTTGAGGAGCCTCAACGTCAACAGAAGGTCCTTTGAAGTCCCCTTCCATCTTTGGCCCAGAAATATCCACGTCTCCTTTCCATTTTGGCCCTTTCAGGTTCAAGTCGACATCCGGCATGGAAATTTTGGGAGCCTTGATGTGCATCTCGGGCATCCTAAACTTGGGTCCCTTCAGCTTCCCTTCAGGGCCTTCGATGTCCAAACTTGGCCCTTCAACGTCAACTTTGGGAAGAGAAACATCCACATCGGGTCTTTGGAGGTTGACATCGACCTCGGGACCTTCTCCCTTGAAGCCGGGCATTCCAAACTTGGGCATCTTGAATTTGGGCATTTTCAGTTTTCCTTCTGGGCCGTGAAGATCAACGTCGGGTATGTCAACATCTAGTTTGGGCCCTTTGATATCAACTTGGGGGCCTTTCAGGTCACCTTCCAGTTTGGGAACAGAAACATCCACCTCTCCTTTGACTTTGGGCCTTTTCAGATTCAGATCAATGTCTGGCATGGATATTTTCGGAGTCTTCATATGCATCTCTGGCATTTTGAATTTGGGACCTTTAATGTTGACATCAGGACCTTCCATTTCCAGATGTGGAGCATCAACGTCTACTTTAGGACCTGAAATATCAATCCCACCTTTTGGAAGGCTGAGATCTACATCCGGTGCTTCTCCTTTGAAGCCAAATGTGGGCATCTTCATCTTGGGCATCTTCAGTTTTCCTTCAGGACCATGAAGTTCAACATCTGGCACGTTGACGTCCAATTGTGGTCCTTCAAGATCAATTCTAGGACCTTTCAAGCCACCTTCGACTTTGGGCATGGAAACATCGAGGCCTCCTTTCGCTCTAGGACCTTTCAGGTTCAAGTCAATGTCTGGCATGGAAATCTTGGGCATTTCGGGCATCTTGAACCGGTGGCCTTTGATCTTGCCTTCTGGTCCTTCAAAACCCAACTCAGGTCCTTCAATATCAACTCTGGGAGTAGAAATATCAAGGCCGCCTTTCGGGAGACTGACGTCTACATCAGGGACTTCGCCTTTGATGCCAAATTTGGGCATCTTCATCTTGGGCATCTTGATTTCGGGTCCGTGGAACTCAACATTGGGGGCAGCAAAGTCCATTTGAGGGCCCTTGAGGTCAACGGAGGGGCCCTTGAGTCCTCCTCCCACTTTTGGAAGGGAAACATCCACATCTCCTTTCAGGTTTGGGCCTTGCAAGTTCAGGTCAATGTCCGGTATGGTAATGTGAGGGGTCTTGACGTGCATTTCGGGCATCGTGACTTGGGGACCTCTGAGATGTCCTGCTGGCCCTTTGATACCAAAAGCAGGAGCTTCGACGTCAACTTTGGGGCCAGAAATGTCGACGCTGCCTTTCGGAAGACTCACGTCAACATCGGGGACTTCACCTTTGATGCCAAATTTGGGCAATTTCATTTTGGGCATCTTGAGCTCAGGTCCGTGAAGGCCTACATCTGGTGCGCCAACATCTAGCTTGGGGCCCTTGATGTCAATGGCGGGGCCCTCGAGTCCTCCTTTTGGAATAGAAACATCCACATCCCCTTTGATTTTAGGGCCCTTCAAGTTGAGGTCGATGTCTGGGATTGAGATTTGTGGCATCTTGACATGAGGACCTTTCAGTTGTCCACTTGGACCTTTGATGCCAATATTGGGTGCGTCTACGTCCAGCTGAGGGCCTTTAATACCGACATGGGGCCCCTTGAGCCCACCTTCTAGCTTTGGCACAGAAAAATCCACATCGCCCTTGAACTTCGGCCCTTTCAGACCAAAGTCCACATCTGGGGCTGAGATTTTGGGTCCTTCAAAGTCCAATCCAGGTCCTTCAACGGCTACTTTTGGACTTGAGATATCAACACTGCCTTTTGGAAGATCAACCTCAACATCAGGAGCCTCTGCTTTGAAGCCCGGCATGCCGAATTTGGGCATCTTCAGTTTGGGCATCTTGAAGTCAGGTCCATGGAACTCAACGTTGGGTGCTCCGAGGTCCACTTCAGGGCCCTTGAGGTCAACAGCGGGGCCCTTGAGGCCTCCTTCAAACTTTGGAAGGGAAACATCCACATCTCCTTTGAGATTAGGGCCTTGCAAGTTCAGGTCAATGTCCGGTATGGTAATGTGAGGGGTCTTGACGTGCATTTCGGGCATCGTGACTTGGGGGCCTCTGAGGTGTCCTGCTGGCCCTTTGATACCAAAAGAAGGAGCTTCAACGTCAACTCTGGGACCGGAAATGTCGACACTACCTTTCGGAAGACTCACGTCAACATCGGGGACTTCCCCTTTGATGCCGAATTTGGGCAGTTTCATTTTGGGCATCTTGAGCTCAGGTCCGTGAAGATCTACACCTGGTGCTCCAAAGTCTACGTTGGGGCCCTTGATGTCAACAACTGGGCCCTTGACCCCTCCTTCCACTTTGGGGACCGAAACACCCCAATCCCCTTTGACTTTAGGAGCCTTCACATCGAGGTCGATGTCTGGGATTGTGATTTGTGGGGTCTTGACGTGAAGACCTTTCAGTTGTCCACTTGGACCTTTGATGCCAACATCAGGTGTGGTTATGTCTAACTGAGGACCTTTAACACCAACTTGAGGGCCCTTGAGTCCACCTTCTAGCCTTGGCACGGAAATATCCACATCACCCTTCAGCGATGGTGCTTTCAAGTCCACATCTGGCACGGCAACTTTTATGGGAGATGTTTCCAAGGATGGCATGGAGACTTCTGGACCTCTGAAGCCCATTTTGGGACCTTTAATGCCCACATCGGGTCCTTTCACGGCTCCTTTAGGGCCCTTGAGGTTCAAGTCAACGTCCGACATTGAGATGCCGGGGATCTGACTGACCACTTCGGGATGGCCGAATTGGGGTCCTTTGACATGGGCCTCAAGAGCCACATCTGGGGCTCGGGTGTCCATCCGTGGTCCCGAGATCTCAATCCCGCCTTTTGGAGCACTCACGTCGATGGCGGGACCTGACGCAGAAAACTTTGGAAGCTTCATGTGGGGCAATTTGATTTTCCCCTCTCCTTGTTCTTGCTCCACAAAATCCACTTTGGGCCCTTTGAGGTCCACCTTGGGACCTTCCAACGTTGGGGAGGTCACCTTCACACCACCTTCCAGGTGGACGTCTCCAGGACCTTCCAATGTGTATTTGGGGCCTTTGAAGGATCCTTCGGGACCTTTGACCATCACAGAGGGTTGAGGAACCTCAACATCCGAAAGTGAGGACCCGATCCCAAATTTGGGCATCTTCATGGCAGGAAACGAGAGGCCTCCTGGACTATCTGGAGCTTTCATTCCGCTGATTTGCATTTGGGGACCTGAGATGCCAACTGAAGGACCCTTGAGGTGCGTTGGGGACAAACCCGCCTCCCACCCGCCTTGGACTTTGGGTCCGGCGAGGTCGACATGGGGCAGGTTACCTCCTTGAACCCCTGCTTTCAAGTCTATATCAGATACACCACTCATCTTGCCATTGATTTCTGGGCTTGTGATGGTCAGGCCAGGTTTGAGGTCAACCCCAGAGATTTGAGGCCCTGAGATCTGGACCTTCTGCTGTTCCATGTGGACATCGGGAACGCCAAACTCCAACCTTCGAGAGGGCGATTCGACGTTTGGTCCACCAAACGTGACCTCCGAGGGTCTCCCTTGGACGGTTCGGCCGGACAAATCAACCTGTGGGATCTTTATGGTGGTTGTCGTCGTCGTCATCGTTGTTTTCCCTGACTCGGTTTCAAACTCGGCTTTGGAGACGTGAGTGAGTTCGTGTTTCGGGACCTTGATCTTAAACTCTGGGCTGGTGATGTCGAGGTCTCTGGCGCCTTCGCGGCCACCGACGTCGACAGTATATGCCGTGACGCGCTTGGTGACGGTGATGGTTCGGCTCTGGGTGCCCCCCGCCGCCTCCGCTTCCACGCCGTCCTCCGACTTGAGCCGGGGCTTAATCTTAGTCGTGTAAATCCGCCGGTACTCTTCGTCATCTCCGCTCTGGAAGACACACAGAGAGAAAAACATAATAATAATAATAAGTGTCTTGATGTCGTCGGGGTTTGTGAAAATATTGTAAACATAATAATAATAATAATAATAATAATAATAATAATAATAATAAAAAGTCTGGATGTCATCGGGGTTTGTGAAAATATTATAAACATAATAATAATAATAATAATAATAATAATAAAAAGTCTGAATGTCATCGGGGTTTGTGAAAATATTATAAACATAAACATAATAATATGTCTGGATGTCATCGGGGTTTGTGAAAATATTATAAACATAATAATAATAATAATAATAATAATAATAAAATGTCTGGATGTCGTCGGGGTTTGTGAAAATATAGTAATAATAATAATAATAATAATAATAATAATAATAAAATGTCTTGATGTCGTTGGGGTTTGTGAAAATATTATAAACATAATATTAATAATAATAATAATAATAATAATAATAATAATAATAAAAAGTCTGGATGTCATCGGGGTTTGTGAAATATTATAAACATAATAATAATAATAATAATAATAATAATATGTCTGGATGTCATCGAGGTTTGTGAAAATATTATAAACATAATAATAATAATACGTCTGGATGTCATCGGGGTTTGTGAAAATATTATAAACATAATAATAATAATAATAATAATATGTCTGGATGTCATCGGGGTTTGTGAAAATATTATAAACATAATAATAATAAATTTAATAATAATAATAATAATAATAAAATGTCTTGATGTCATCGGGGTTTGTGAAAATATTGTAAACATAATAATAATAATAATAATAATAATAATAATAATAATAATATGTCTGGATGTCATCGGGGTTTGTGAAAATATTATAAACATAAACATGTGGCCACTGGCATGACTGCAAGGAGTGCTGTTACCTTCCTGCTGGGGCTGTACCTATTGATCTACTCACAAAAGGTACCGCTTCAGCAGGAAGGCTCCTTAATAATAATAATAATAATAATAATAATAATAATAATGGCCAATTTTTAAAATATTATAATATTATTATTCATAGTAAATAATAGATATCAAAATGGAATTAAATATTACAATTAGCCACATTGGCTCTCAATCATATTATTATTATTATTATTATATTGGTCAAATTTCATGTATTATTATTATTATTATTAAGAACACAGTAAATAATAGATAACTGCTAGGTTGGCAGAAGCTGGGGCTAACAGCGAGAGCTCACCCCATTCCCCAGATTCGAAATTTCCCAGAGGGAAATCCTCGACTTCACCTCGCGCCCTTGCGACCGGACTCACCAGAACCACTTCGGGCGTCTGGGGGACAAAGACGTCGTGCGACCAAGTCTGTCCCGGCAGCGGAGAGCGGTCCCCCTTCCTCTGGACCCGGAGGCCGACCGTGTGGTGACCCACGTTGCGCAGGAGCTCATTCACCTCCCCAGACTGGAGGTTGTCAAAGTAGATGGTGGCGCTCACAATCTGATCCCCTGCAAGGAAGGAAGAAAGAGAAGGAAGGAAGGAAGGAAGATGAGAAGGGAGGGAGGGAGGAAGAGAAGAGGGAGGGAGGGACAGAGGAAAGGAAAGAACAAAGGAAGGAAGAAAAGAGAGAAAGAAAGAAGGATGGGTGGAAGTGAGGAAAGGGAGGGAGGGAAGAGAGAGAGAAGAAAGAAAGATGAGAAGGGAGGGAGGGAGAGAAGAGGGAGGAAGGGACAGAGGAAAGGAAGGAAGGAATGAAGGATGGAAGGAAGGAAGAGAAGGAAGAAAGCAGGTAGGAAATGAAGGAAGGATAGAGGAAGGAAGAATAGAAAGAAGAATGGAAACACAAGACAGGAAGGAAAGAAGGAAGGAAGGAAGGACGCACAGACGCAAGGAGAGAAGAAAGAAAGCGGGTAGGAAATGAAGGAAGGATAGGAAAGAAAGATGGAAGGAAAGATGAAAGGAGAGAAAGGAAGAAAGCAGGTAGGAAATGAAGGATAGGAAGGAAGAATAGAAAGAAGAATGGAAAGAAGACAGGACGGACGGACGGACGGAAGGAAGGAAGGAAGGAAGGATGGAAGGAGGAAAGAAAGATGGAAAGAGAGAAGGAAGAAAGCAGATAGGAAATAAAGGAAGGAGAGATAGGAAGGAAGAATAGAAAGAAGAATGGAAACACAAGAAAGGAAGGAAGGAGGGAGGAGAGATAGGAAGGAAAGAAGAAAGTGAGCAGGGGAAGAAGGGAAGAGAGGAAGGAAGGAAGAAGATTATGCTCTGAATGGTGGTTTTGCAGATCCCTTCAAGGCCCAGGAAGGTCTTTCTCCGGCACATATGGGAGCTGTGGAGTGCCTTTTGGGATGTGTAACGCGCCTACCTTCCTTGACGACGCCGGTCTTGGCGATGGGCGAATCTTCGTGGAGCTGCTTGACGAAGACGCCTTCCTCAGTCTGGTCGAGGGTGATGCCGTGGGAGCCGCTGCCTTGCCAGTCCGGGAGCAGGATCTCCCGAGGCCCTTCCTCGTCCTTCTCCATCTGAAGAAGAAGAATATTGCGCTTCAATTGGAGTGAAAACATCAGCATCAGAGTCCTTGTTACCAGCGAAAGCCAACTGCTCCTGCTTCTGATTTATAGCCCTGAATTCCCCATGCAGGAGATGCTAGGGGGTCTCCCAATTAGTTCAACGTTTTTAGCAGCTATTCTAGCTGAACGCCACCTGTGCTCTGTCTCTTTTCGTGTCTCTAGAAATGTGGGCACTTGCACAACCTCATCGTCTTGATTCTTCTTCTCGAGCACTTCCCTGCTCCCCTTCCTCTTCCGAAGATGAGGAATCCCTAACAAATGTGGCCAAAGAGGTTCTCTCACAAATCCCACAACAACAAATCAGGGATGAGCTTGCAGCACTGCCTAGTGTGGAAGAAGTCTGCAATGCCATCAGCCAACAAAAAAATAACAAAGCCAGCAGACCTAACGGGATCCCTGCTGAAATCTTTAAAGAGGGAGTGTTGGAGTCAGATGCAGCATAGGATATGTAGTCAGATGCAGCATAGTTTGGAATCAAGTCAAGATCTAGTCCTTGCTTCTTGGAATCAAGAATCTTTCTTGGAAAGATTCATGCTTAAAGTGCCTTGTTTCGTAGTTTTGATTCTTGGAAGAAATCAGCAATGCTATCAGCCAACAAAAGAATAACAAAGCCAGCGGACCTGACGGGATCCCTGCTGAAATCTTTAAAGAGAAAGGACCTGAGCTGAGACAACAACTCCACCCGCTCATTGAAAAAGTGTGGTTGACCGAGAAAATCTCAGCAGATTTCAAGGATGTCAACGTCATTATCCTTTTCAAAAAAGGAGAAAGAGCAAACTGCGGAAACCATCGAGGTATCTTTCTTCGAACCTCCTGTTCTAAATCCCGTTTTTGAATGTTGTTCTTTATTTACTGAGTTTTTTAAATACTGGCTTCTTACTGCCTGGGAGAATCCTTTGTTGAGAGGCGATTAGTAGGCTTGGGCAGTTTCGTTCGTTAATTTCGTAATTCGTTATTAATTCGTATTTAAATTAGCTTACGATCCAATATTGAGCCATGCTGGAATAGTGTGAGGAGTAATTAAGATTCGAAACAATTTTTTCAATTTATTTCGTAATTATTTCGAAATTATTTTGTAATTATTTTGGCATGTCTGGTGCAAGTTTTATAGTTGTTGTTTGTTTTATCACACCAACAGTCAACAACAGAGGGAGAGGGAAGCTTCAGAAGTTCCCCCTGTCCCATTTGGAGGTTTTTTTTTAGCATATTGCGCAATCTCGCCCGCCATTAACGAATCGATTCGTAATTTTACGAAATTTTGTAAATTTCGAAATTTTTTAAAGGCAAATTTTGGAATTATTAAAAAAAAAACGAAATGCAAGGGACCCCTAAAACAAAACGATTTTAGAACCAAATTTTTCCGTGGTTACCCAAGCCTAGCGATTAGCTGTCTGTGATTGTTTTTTGTCTGGAGTTGCACTACGTTGCACTAGATTGGAAAGAAAACTACCAAAGCCTCCTGAACCGCAGCTCCAATGTGGCCAAAGAGGTTCTCTCACAAATCCCGCAACAACAAACCAGGGATGAGCTTGCAGCACTGCCTAGTGTGGAAGAAGTCAGCAATGCTATCAGCCAACAAAAAAATAACAAAGCCAGTGGACCTGACGGGATCCCTGCTGAAATCTTTAAAGAGGGAGTGTTGGAGCTCAGCCTGTGATTGTGTTTAAGGATCAGGGTGCTTTAGATGTGGGCTGTGATGACAATGAGTTTCAAGATGGCAGTGATGCAGAGAAGGGCCAGTAGACCCCTGGCAAAGTGTACTTCCCCGTGAGAATGTCCCTGAAGGGTGTGGGGATGATGGTGTGTTCCCCGAATTGCTACCAGAGAGTGCTCATGATTTGGAGCTTGAAAATAGCTCGGCACCTAGCACAGCTGCAGAAATTAATGAGCAAATAGACGGGAGAAGATGAGTCAAAACAGAAAAGCCGAACAGTGGCTTCGGCATTCCGACAGGCTCAGACAGAGAAAGATAAGAGATTCTAAGTTAAAGCGAAACCAATTTCTGAGCGCTTGGGACATAGCTTAACGAGGAGATAAAAGTCCCAAGTACAGGATATGAAGCATTGTTTGGAATCAAGTCAAGATCTAGTCCTTGCTTCTTGGAAGCTCTGCTTGGAAAGATTCATGCTTAAAATGCCTTCTTTCGTAGTTTTGATTCTTGGGTTCTATGATTTTATGTTCATGCCCTGGATTCATGTTTCCTGGTTCTCTGGATTTTATCGGGAGAAATCTGCCTTTGTTTTTCATGGACTTTGATGGACTATTACCTTGGGCTACTTCGTTCCGGCTTATCTTCGTACCTAATTGGATTTACCTATTCCTTTAAAGTGTTATTTTTTACCTTTCTGCTTTTTAATTGCTTGGAAAGATTCGTGCTTCAAGTGCCTTGTTTCATGCTTTGATTCTTGGATTCTATGATTTTATTTTCATGCCCTGGATTCATGTAAATAATTAAAAAGCAGAAAGGTAAAAAGCACTTTAAAGGAATAGGTAAATCCAATTAGGTAGGAAGATAAGCCGGAGCAAAGTAGTCAAAGGTAATAGTTCCGTGGATTTTATCGGAGAAATTTTGCCTTTGTTTTTCATAGACTTTGATGGACTATTACCTTGGACTACTTTGTTCTGGCTTGTCTTCCTACCTAATTGGATTTGCCTATTCCTTTAAAGTGCTCTTTTACCTTTCTGCTTTTTAATTATTTATTGTTATGATTTCAGAGTCTTTTTTAAAAAAATACTGGTAGCCAGATTTTGTTCATTTTCATGGTTTCTTCCTTTCTCACCACCTCTGAGGATGCCTGCCATAGATGCAGGCAAAACGTCAGGAGGGAATGCTGCTGGAACACAGTCATACAGCCTGAAAAACTTACAGCAACCCAGGCCACGAAAGTCTTCGATTCCTCACCTTTTTCAGACTTAAGTCCAGGCAGGAGCCACCCCAGGAATTCCCTTCTTGTCACTTGCCAATCCTTTTTTGCTTAACGTCCCTTCCAATGTTCCGGCTTATCTTCCTACCTAATTAGATATACCTATTCCTTTAAAGTGCTTTTTTACCTTTCTGCTTTTTAATTATTTACTGTTATGATTTCAGAGTCTTTTTAAAAAAAACAGTGGTAGCCAGATTTTGTTCATTTTCATGGTTTCTTCCTTTCTCACCACCTCTGAGGATGCCTGCCATAGATGGAGGTGAAACGTCAGGAGAGAATGTTGCTGGAACACAGTCATACAGCCTGAAAAACGTACAACAACCCAGTGATTCCAATGTTTTGCCTTTGTTGTCCATGGATTTCGATGGGCTATTACTTTGGACTACTTTGCCCCGGCTTATCTTCCTACCTAATTGGATTTGCCTGTTCCTTTAAAGTGCTTTTTTACCTTTCTGCTTTTTAATTATTCACTGTTGTGATTTCAGAGTTTTGTTTTGCCTGTGTTTTTCATGGACTTTGATGAACTTATTGCCTTGGATTACTTTGCCTTGGATTACTTTGGACTACTTTGTTCCGGCTTATCTTCCTACCTAATTGGATATACCTATTCCTTTAAAGTGCTTTTTTTCTCTTTCTGCTTTTTAATTATTTACTGTTATGATTTCAGAGTCTTTTTTTAAAAAAAATACTGGTAGCCAGATTTTGTTCATTTTCATGGTTTCATCTTTTCTCACCACCTCTGAGGATGCCTGCCATAAATGCAGGCAAAACATCAGGAGGGAATGCTGCTGGAACATGGTCATACAGCCTGAAAAACATACAACCCAGTGATTCCAGCCATGAAAGCCTTCGATTCCTCACCTTTTTCGGACTTAAGTCCAGGCAGGAGCCGCCCCAGGAATTCCCTTCTTGTCACTTGCCAATCCTTTTTTGCTTAACGTCCCTTCCAACGTTCCAGCTTATCTTCCTACCTAATTGGATTTACCTATTCCTTTAAAGTGCTTTTATACCTTTCTGCTTTTTTAATTATTTACTGTTATGATTTCAGAGTTTTGTCTTGCCTGTGTTTTTCATGGACTTTGATGAACTTATTACCTTGGATTACTTTGTTCCGGCTTATCTTCCTACCTAATTGGGTTTACCTATTCCTTTAAAGTGCTTTTTTACCTTTCTGCTTTTTAATTATTTACTGTTATGATTTCAGATTTTTTTTAAAAAATAGTGGTTGCCGGATTTTATTCATTTTCATGGTATTTTATTCATTCTCACCACCTCTGAGGATGCCTGCCATAGATGCAGGCAAAACGTCAGGAGAGAATGCTGCTGGAACACGGTCATACAGCCTGAAAAATGTACAACAACCCAGTGATTCCGATGTTTTGCCTTTGTTGTCCATGGATTTTGATGGACTATTACTTTGGACTACTTTGCCCCGGCTTATCTTCCTACCTAATTGGATTTACCTATTCCTTTAAAGTGCTTTTTTACCTTTCTGCTTTTCCATTATTTACTGTTATGATTTCAGAGTCTTTTTTAAAAAAATAGTGGTTGCCGGATTTTATTCATTTCCATGGATTCTTCCTTTCTCACCACCTCTGAGGATGCCTGCCATAGATGCAGGCAAAACGTCAGGAGAGAATGCTGCTGGAACAGGTCATACAGCCTGAAAAATGTACAACAACCCAGTGATTCCGATGTTTTGCCTTTGTTGTCCATGGATTTTGATGGACTATTACTTTGGACTACTTTGCCCCGGCTTATCTTCCTACCTAATTGGATTTACCTATTCCTTTAAAGTGCTTTTTTACCTTTCTGCTTTTCCATTATTTACTGTTATGATTTCAGAGTCTTTTTTAAAAAAATAGTGGTTGCCGGATTTTATTCATTTCCATGGTTTCTTCCTTTCTCACCACCTCTGAGGATGCCTGCCATAGATGCAGGCAAAACATCAGGAGGGAATGCTGCTGGAACACAGTCATACAGCCTGAAAAACTCACAACAACCCAGGCCATGAAAGCTTTCGATTCCTCACCTTTTTCGGATTTAAGTCCAGGCAGGAGCCACCCCAGGAATTCCCTTCTTGTCACTTGCCAATCCTTTTTCGCTTAATGTCCCTTCCAACATTCCAGCTTATCTTCCTACCTAATTGGATATACCTATTCCTTTAAAGTGCTTTTTTACCTTTCTGCTTTTTAATTATTTACTGTTATGATTTCAGAGTTTTGTTTTGCCTGTGTTTTTCATGGACTTTGATGAACTTATTACTTTGGATTACTTTGTTCCGGCTTATCTTCCTACCTAATTGGGTTTACCTATTCCTTTAAAGTGCTTTTTTACCTTTCTGCTTTTCAATTATTTACTGTTATGATTTCAGAGTCTTTTTTAAAAAAAATAGTGGTAATCAGATTTTGTTCATTTTCATGTTTTCTTCCTTTCTGACCACCTCTGAGGATGCCTGCCATAGATGCAGGCAAAACATCAGGAGGGAATGCTGCTGATAATTAATTCCTTTAAAGTGCTTTTTACCTTTCTGCTTTTTAATTATTTACTGTTATGATTTCAGAGTTTTGTTTTGCCTGTGTTTTTCATGGACTTTGATGAACTTATTGCCTTGGATTACTTTGCCCCGGCTTATCTTCCTACCTAATTGGATTTACCTATTCCTTTAAAGTCCTTTTTTACCTTTCTGCTTTTGAATTATTTACTGTTATGATTTCAGAGTTTTGTTTTGCCTTTGTTGTCCATGGACTTTGATGGACTATTACCTTGGACTACTTTGCCCCAGCTTATCTTCCTACCTAATTGGATTTACCTATTCCTTTAAAGTGCTTTTTTACGTTTCAGCTTTTTAATTATTTACTGTTATGATTTCAGAGTCTTTAAAAAAAAAAACAGTGGTAGCCAGATTTTTTTCATTTTCATGGTTTCTTACTTTCTCACCACCTCTGAGGATGCCTGCCATAGATGGAGGCGAAACGTCAGGAGAGAATGCTGCTGGAACACAGTCATACAGCCTGAAAAACTCACAACAATCCAGGCCATGAAAGCTTTCAATTCCTCACCTTGTTCGGACTTAAGTCCAGGCAGGAGCCGCCCCAGGAATTCCCTTCTTGTCACTTGCCAATCCTTTTCCGCTTAACGTCCCTTCCAACTTTCCAACCTGGAAAAAGAGGAAAACAGGAAAGAAAACGGGTCAGTGGTCGGAACGCGGATCATTTTCGAAGCCTGCAAAGTCGGCTCTCCCTTCCGCGTCAATGGGCGGAACATATTTGTTGCTCGGCGGCCGCTCCTCGATTCGGAGCATGCGAAGTATGGTACATATGCGAGGCAGAGAATGTGCCGACGGGGTTCTCCCGATCCCGAGGCAGAACGGCCTCCTGACCTCACGATCGCGGGGAAAAACAAAGCGTGGATCGTGGATGTTACAACCCCAAGCGACAGCAGAATAGACAAGAAGCAACTGGAAAAGATTGCACAACACGAAGATTTGCAAAGATTCTAGCACAAGCCAGTCAAGGGGGTCCCAGTGGTGATCGGCACACTGGGTGCAGCTCCTCAAGACCTTGGCCTGCACTTAAAAACAATTGGAAAAGCTGACACGATACGAGGGTTTAAAGATCGAACTGCAAATACTCTGGCACAAGCCGGTCAAGGGGGTCCCAGTGGTGATCGGCACACCGGGTGCAGCGCCTCAAGACCTTGGCCTGCACTTAAAAACAATTGGAAAAGCTGACACGATACGAGGGTTTAAAGATCGAACTGCAAATACTCTGGCACAAGCCGGTCAAGGGGGTCCCAGTGGTGATCGGCACACCGGGTGCAGCGCCTCAAGACCTTGGCCTGCACTTAAAAACAATCGGAAAAGCTGACACGATACAAGGGTTTAAAAATCTAACTGCAAAGACTCTGGCACAAGCCAGTCACGGTGGTCCCAGTGGTGATCGGCACACTGGGTGCAGCGCCTGAAGACCTTGGCCTGCACTTAAAAACAATTAGAAAAGCAGACACGATACAAGGGTTTAAAGATTGAACTGCAAAGACTCTGGCACAAGCAGAATAGACAAGAAGCAACTGGAAAAGATTACACAACACTAGAATTTAAAGATCGAACTGCAAAACTCTGGCACAAGCCAGTGAATGTGGTCCCAATGGTGATCAGCACACTGGGTGCAGCGCCTCAAGACCTTGGCCTGCACTTAAAAACAATTGGAAAAGCTGACACGATGCAAGGGTTTAAAGATCGAACTGCAAAGATTCTAGCACGCCAGTCAATGTGGTCCCAGTGGTGATCGGCACACTGGGTGCAGCGCCTCAAGACCTTGGCCTGCACTTAAAAACAATTGGAAAAGCTGACACGATGCAAGGGTTTAAAGATCGAACTGCAAAGATTCTAGCACGCCAGTCAAGGTGGTCCCAGTGGTGATCGGCACACTGGGTGCAGCGCCTCAAGACCTTGGCCTGCACTTAAAAACAATTGGAAAAGCCAACACGATACAAGGGTTTAAAGATCAAACTGCAAAGACTCTGGCACAAGCCAGTCAAGGGAGTCCCAGTGGTGATCGGCACACTGGGTGCAGCGCCTCAAGACCTTGGCCTGCACTTAAAAACAATTGGAAAAGCCGACACAATACAAGGGTTTAAAGATTGAATGGCAAATACTCTGGCACAAGCCAGTCAACGGGGTTCCAGTGGTGATTGGCACACTGGGTGCAGCACCTCAAGACCTTGGCCTGCACTTAAAAACAATTGGAAAAGCTGACACGATACAAGGGTTTAAAGATCAAACTGCAAAGACTCTGGCACAAGCCAGTCAATGTGGTCCCAATGGTGATCGGCACACTGGGTGCAGCGCCTCAAGACCTTGGCCTGCACTTAAAAACAATTGGAAAAGCCAACACAATACAAGGGTTTAAAGATTGAATGGCAAATACTCTGGCACAAGCCAGTCAACGGGGTTCCAGTGGTGATTGGCACACTGGGTGCAGCACCTCAAGACCTTGGCCTGCACTTAAAAACAATTGGAAAAGCTGACACGATACAAGGGTTTAAAGATCAAACTGCAAAGACCCTGGCACAAGCCAGTCAATGTGGTCCCAATGGTGATCGGCACACTGGGTGCAGCGCCTCAAGACCTTGGCCTGCACTTAAAAACAATCAGCGGTGGCAGTTGCAAAAGTCCACCCTAGTCGAACCTGCACACGTTATTTGCCGATACGGTCCTAGATACTTGGAAAGCAACCGATGTGTGACCCAATACCAAAGCCAGCATAGTAATTGTGTTTGCTGTGTACTAATGTTGTTGTGTTTCTAATAATAATAATAATAATAATTATTATTATTATTATTATTACTATTATTATAAATCTTTAAATATCAAACTGCAAAGACTCACCGGTCAAGGTGGTCCCAGTGGTGATTGGCACACTGGGTGCAGTGCCTCAAGACCTTGGCCTGCACTTAAAAACAATCGGCACTGACAAAACTACCATCTGCCAACTGCAATACGAAATCCAGCATATAGATCTCTCATATATATATATGTATATGTATATATATATGTGTGTGTGTATGTATGTGTGTGTGTATATATATACATATAGACACACACATCTGTACATATATATACACACATACATATATATATGCATATATATGTGTGTGTATGTATGTGTGTGTGTGTATATATACATATATATATATACATACATACACACAACGGATTAAAAAGTGGGACCAAAGTGGGTTAAATCGACAGTGTAGATGCTACTTGGAGTGTGGTTTGGAAGCTGAAAGGGAGAAGGGAGGCGTTGTGTAATTGTGGGTGGGAAAGTGTGCAGCCAGGGGACAGTGTGAGACTTCCTTGCACGCCACTCGCACGCCCTGGTGAACGGATTAAAAAGTGGGACCAAAGTGGGTTAAATCGGCAGTGTAGATGCTACTTGATGTGTGGTATGGAAGCTGAAAAGGAGAAGGAAGGCATTGCGTAATTTTGGGTGGGAAAGTGTGCAGCCAGGGGGCAGCGCGAGGCTTCCTTGCACGCCACTCGCACGCCCTGGTGAACAGATTAAAAAGTGGGACCAAAGTGGGTTAAATCGACAGTGTAGACGCTACTTGGAATGTGGTTTGGAAGCGGAAAAGGAGAAGGAAGGCGTTGTGTAATTGTGGGTGGGAAAGTGTGCAGCCAGGGGACAGTGCAAGGCTTCCTTGCACGCCACTCGCACACCCTGGTGAACGGATTAAAAAGTGGGACCAAAGTGGGTTAAATCGGCAGTGTAGATGCTACTTGATGTGTGGTTTGGAAGCTGAAAAGGAGAAGGAAGGCGTTGTGTAATTGTGGGGTGAAAGTGTGCAGCCAGGGGGCAGTGCGAGGCTTCCTTGCACGCCACTCGCACGCCCTGGTGAACAGATTAAAAAGTGGGACCAAAGTGGGTTAAATCGACAGTGTAGATGCCCCTGGAGTGTGGTTTGGAAGCTGAAAAGGAGAAGGAAAGCATTGCGTAATTTTGGGAGGAAAGTGTGCAGACAGAGGGCAGTGCAAGGCTTCCTTGCACGCCACTCGCACACCCTGGTGAACGGATTAAAAAGTGGGACCAAAGTGGGTTAAATCGGCAGTGTAGATGCTACTTGATGTGTGGTTTGGAAGCTGAAAAGGAGAAGGAAGGCGTTGTGTAATTGTGGGGTGAAAGTGTGCAGCCAGGGGGCAGTGCGAGGCTTCCTTGCACGCCACTCGCACGCCCTGGTGAACGGTGCCAAGAAAAGTTTTCCATTTCCAAGCAGGCATGCAACCCGATCAGGCCTGAAACCTGGGCTCAATGCAACGGCAATCCTGGGAATTGTAGCACGCCGAACTTGGGAAAGCACGCTGCATCGAGTCGTCAAACTGGATTAATTCTATAGTGCGGAAGCGTCCTATCGATGGCTACGAGGGGCAAAGTCCCGTATGTAAATACGGGCGAGATTACGGCCGATTCCGACAGATCTTTGCTTGACGTGCCAAAGGCTGCAGATAACAACAAATGCCACTGTTTGCCCAAGTCGATTGCTTGCAAATAAATGACAAAAGTCAATAGCAGCCCAAGAAAATCAACACTATCAATCACTGGGGTGTCTGTGGTTGAGGCAACACATACAATCTAGGATGGAATTGTCCCCGAATGGAAGCCTTTTCTTGGGTGGTGGCTGCGCCTTGTATTATATATATCGCCATAGAAAAGTATAGGAAAGGGTGAAGGGAGAGGCAGTGGACAGCATGAGTCAGAAACACTGGGATGTCTGTGGTGGAGGTAACACATCCAATCTAGAATGGAATGGTCCATGAATGGAAGCCTTCCCTTGGGGGGTGGACAGTCTGGTGTTGGTGGAGGACATTGGCAGGGCTCTTGGACATGTTTACACTGGGATGTCTGTGGTGGAGGAAACACATATAATCTAGGATGGAATAGTCCCAGAATGGAAGCCTTCCCTCGGGTGGTGGACAGTCTGGTGTTGGTGGAGGACATTGGCAGGGCTCTTGGACATGTTTACACTGGGATGTCTGTGGTGGAGGTAACACATACAACCTAGGATGGAATCATCCCCGAATGGAAGCCCGCACCTGTATTATATATATTGCCATAGAAAAGAAAAGGAAAGGGTAAAGGGAGAGGCAGTGGGCGGGATCATGCAAATTCCATACTAATGGAGAGAGTTAGAAACACTGGGGCATCTGTGGTGGAGGAAACACATAAAATGTAGGATGGACTTGAGTGGTGGGCAGCGCCCTGTATTATAAATATTGCCATAGTAAAGAATAGGAAAGGGTGAAGGGAGAGGCACTGGGCTGGGTCATGTAGGAACACTGGGATGTCTGTGGTGGAGGAAACACATATAATATAGGATGGAATGGTCCCAGAATGAAAGCCTTCCCTTGGGTGGTGGGCAGTGTGGTGTTTGTGGGGTACAGTGGCAGGGCTCTTGGACATGTTTACACTGGGATGTCTGTGGTGGAGGTAACACATCCAATCTAGAATGGAATGGTCCACGAACGGAAGCCTTCGCTTGGGTGGTGGGCAGTGTGGTGTTTGTGGGGTACAGTGGCAGGGCTCTTGGACATGTTTACACTGGGATGTCTGTGGTGGAGGTAACACATCCAATCTAGAATGGAATCGTCCCCGAATGGAAACCTTCCCTTGGGTGGTGGGCAGTGTGGT